TCCTCCGTTCATTTCTTTTCTTTTTTAACTTGATCGGATATGTCTCCCTCCTTCTTCATACCTACCTTCCACGTCCAGGTTCCTCCGTACCTGACTCACTCATGTCTCCATCATCTGCTCCATCGCTCCCCTCTCTCTACTTCAATATGCTACCCTCCTCCCCTCCTCTCTCCCTCCCTCCTGCTCACTCCCTCCCCTCCTCTCTCCCTCCCTCCTGCTTCCCTCCCTCCCCTCCTCTCTCCCTCCCTCCCCTCCCTCTCCTCCCTCCTGCTTCCCTTCCGCCTGTCCTGGTCTGTCGCTACGAGTAACTGTTTCACTCTGTGATCGGCATTTTCAAACGGTTACACGGGAGTAACTGACCGTTACATTTCCTCAATTGTACGAGACCGTTGGGTACTCCGCCGTTGCGAGGGGCCTAACCGATGAGTGGGATCGTGGTGAGGCAGGGGTGGGGTGGGGTTAGGGGGTGGTATGATAGAGAGACGGGTAGGGTAATATTAATAAGTTGGGTTGATGGTAAAAGAGAGGGTCATATAGTTGAAATTATGGGGTAGGGGTAGTAATGTGACTCAGGAGGTGGTGACCGGTGGGTATCATGGTAACAGGGAAAGAGTGAGTGGGGTATCTGTTGGTCCGAACGCGGCATGGCGGACGGAGGGCATAAGCCGCCCGACAAGCGGCTGGAATGGTTCCAAGACCGCATCCTTACAGCGTGAGTAGAGCGAAAGCATGCTCTTGTTGCTGAATCCTCGCGTATTCCCTGATGTGACGCTTGCCTGAAGAATCCTCTTGCCCTTCGTTTGTCCTTTGAAATCCAGCAACTAGTCTCATTTTTTACTCCAGATGGGGACGGCTTACAAAACCTGACAAGGCGCAGAAATTGATTGAGACTGAAACAACATCAAAAGCCTTGCAAACATATTGCGATTCTGACAGCAGAAGTATCTTCATCTATGAGCAAGAAGGTGATTTTGTAGCAAGTCAACTTGCTCCACAAAACAGCAAATCGAAAAAGATTGTCTCTTTCATCAAGGAAGATGTTCCCATTCAAGACGCGAAAGTGATTTTATCTCGAACTCGATGCTCGTTACTCACCATCGTTGCAGGAAATGAACGAGAAGATTCAAATGATTGAATATCTTCCTGCTGATGGCATCCGTCAAATCATGTCCTTTTCTCAGTCAGTGTACTATCCACTCTTGACAAACCCTGCGAATCAAGAAGGATGGCCAGATGTCATTGCAAAGGAACTCACTGACAACTTGCACAACTTTCTTACGAACACGTACGTCACCTTGGGTCATATTTCTGGAGAGATACTCCTGCCTCTGCCTCCTGAAGAGGTCAACACTGTCTGCCTTTCTTTTTAGTAGCAATGAGCTTACACTCGTTGATGTTGCAGGTGTATGCAAACATGGAAAAGAACCAGCACGACAAGGATAGCGTGCACGTTCTCGAGACTTCTGTTGTGGCATGGACAAGGCAGATCAAGGACGTATTGCGCCAAGATTCAGAAACGGTTCTTTCAAGTGGAACACATCCGGGTCCATCGGCAGAGCTTGAGTTCTGGAACAAGAAGTCACAGAATTTGAATTCTATACATGAGCAACTGAGCAGTGAGAAAGTCAAAAAGGTCTTGAAGATTCTAGAAGTCACAAAATCCACCTACTTCCCAGCATTCAACAGGCTATGCAAGGAAGTCGCTCAAGCGAGGATGGAGGCGAATGACAACAAACTCTTTTTGTCCTCGCTTGAACAATTCATCACCACGTATGACATGCGATATGTTCCCTGTTGCTCACTGACACGTGTTTCAGTCTCAGCAACGAGGCTTTTGGGGAGATCAAAGATGTGTTCAAGCCCCTCATGCATACGATTTTATTGATTTGGAAGAATTCAAAGTTCTACAACACTCCTGCTCGACTTGTAGTCTTGATGCGGGAAATCTGCAACGATCTGATTCGCCAAGCTGGCATCTTTGTGAGTGGCGAACAGATTTTTGAAATGGAACCACAAGAGGCTGTGGAAGCGCTCAAGCTTTGCTTGAAAGTGTGCGTCACCTTCAAGAGCAACTACTTTGATTACAAAGCTCGAGCTAGTACTGAATGCCCTTCGAATCCATGGAGATTCCAAAACAGTGCATTGTTTGCAAGGCTTGACAGCTTCCTGGAAAGGTGTCATGACGTCTTGGATCTGATGCAAACAATCGTTCAGGTAAAGCATTGTTATGCACACATATAGCAGTAACACTGTTGTTAGTTCAACAAATTGGAGAAGATAGAAGTTGGAGGTACGAAAGGAAAGTCATTGACAACGAGCGTCCAACAAATCTATGAGGAGTTTCTCCAGGCGACAACAACCTTCAAATCGGCGCAATATGATATCATGGATGTGGAGCACAAGGAGTTTGACAATGACTTTTACAAATTTCGATCCATCATTAATGAGCTCGAAAGAAGACTTGGCGCTGTGATTGTTCAAGCATTCGATGACAGTAGTACAATTCTCTGGTGCTTCAAATTGTTTGACTCGTTCGAGGTATTCCTGCCTTCATTTTGAAACTTGATGAATTATTGAAACTCCTTGTAGGGTCTGCTGGAGCGTGAGATTATCCTAACAGATTTGGAGAAGAAAAACACCGATCTGCTCAATGCGTATGCACAAGACTTGAAAGAAGTCCAAGAAATTTTCATCGCAGGACGTGATGATCCCCCCATTCCGGACAATGCTCCACCCCACGCAGGTGCAGTTGCCTGGTGCAGAGGACTGGTGGAGCGTGTAGAAGAGCCTATGAACCGTCTCAAGGGACTGGGCAAGTCCATACTCGAGAGCGAGGAAGGTAAAGAAGTCGTTCGAGCCAACGCGGCTATCCTAGCAAGCCTCAGGGAATTTGAGAAAATGCATGTAGATACGTGGTGTCAGGAGCAAGAAAGCACCGGCGCTGAAAAGTTGAAACACAACCTTCTCAGAAGAGAAGAAAATGGACCTTTTCCATTCCTGCGGGTCAATTTCGATCCTGGCCTGGTTTGCCTCTTGAGAGAAGTGAAGTACTTTCTGATGCTCAAGATTGATGTGCCAGAATCTGCCATGAACATCTTTGTGAAGCATGAAACCTACAGGCAGCAGACAGGAAATCTGGACTTGATCGTCAACATATACAATCAAATGCTTTCTACCTTTTTGGATGTTGAACGGCCATTGTTACAAGCTAAGATGGATGATATAGACAAATTTCTGCAGAAGGGCCTCAAGCATTTGAATTGGAAAAGTCATGCGATCAACGAATTCATTTCAAATACAATGACGAAGGTCAAGGAAGCCAACACGATTTTGCAGACAATCAAAGGAAATGTCAAAAAGACGCAAGCTGTGCTAAAGTCGTTCACGGACCCTTTGATGATCGATAGGAACCCGACGAAAACCTACTCGATTGAGCAGTGCCAAGAGATGTTCAAGAAGACAATACATTCTCGGTACACAGTAGTACAAAAAGGTGGTGAGTCAATCCATGAGCACCTTGATAATAGCAACAAAATCTTGAAGGTCACAAAGGCCAATGACAATTGGAGAAGATATGTCGATTATGTCAATCAGATCGTCATTGAAGGGTTATGCCAAGTCTCCCTCGCATCTGCAAGGTATCTTCGGAGTCAGATTGATGAAGTGTATGTAATCAACAACGAAATCAATCCCTTGCTTGAAATTCAACTGAAATTAGCCCCTCCAAATGCTATTTTCACTCCCATGATGGGTAGAACGTCAAATGGTGATGGACTGAGAGACGTCGTTGAGGGGTGGCTGACGTCATTCGTGAATGTCTCAACACTGGTCAATCGTATCGACACCACGGACGAGGACGGAGATTATCTGGCCGACATGCAAGAGGACATTGCTGTCAAGCATATTGTCGCGTCGATAAATAGATTGATAACTCACGGTGAGAAAAAATGTGAAGAATTCAGACAACAATTCATGGCTTATTCCTATCTCTGGACCGACGACATCGTTGAATCTTTTAACCAGTGGAAAGCTCAGAATTCGAATGAAGATCCCGAAGCTCTAGATAAGGACCCGAGCCTTTCCACGTTTGATGAGCAGATTTTAAAGTACAAAGCACTTGAAGAGGAAATCAGAGAGCTGCCGGCAACCAAAGTCATCGGATGGTTGAAGATAGATTCAAAGCCCATCAAGAACGCCTTGGGAACTTGGGTTTCCAAATGGACCTATCAATATCAAAATTATCTGTTGGACAAGGTGAACAAGAGTATCCACGACTTGGACACTTTTGTGCATCAAACTGATGCAGCCCTGGACACAGAGGTGTCGGACACTGATAGAGAAGCTATGTTGGCTGTGATGGGATATCTGAGAGACGTGAGAAAGCGAACAGAAGGGACTGATGCCATGTTTGATCCCTTGAAACAGACTGTCTCTCTGCTGGCAAAGCATTCCATTCAAACTCCCGAAGAAACACTCAAATTGCTGGAAGAGACACCGCTCTCATGGAATAACCTCAAGAAGAAGGCTGTTGTCACAAAGGAAAAACAAGCAAAGAATCAGAGTCGTGAAGCTGACAAGTTGAAGAAAGAAGGAAAGGAATTTGAGGACAGGGTTCAGTCGTTCTTTCAGGCGTTCCGTAAGCACATGCCGTTTGAATATCAAGACAATTACAATGCAGCGTACGCAATGATAGATGCTGTTCACCATGGGCCGAATGATTTGACCATCACTTACGAAGATGGGCGAACAGCACCGCTTACATCTGTCTCCGAGATGAGAGGACTTGCTAAATCGTTGAATGAGTTGCAGGAACTCTTTGAGCTCTACGTGATTGAATACCGAGAGATCAATCAATGTGAAAAGGATTCCGTTCAACTGAAGCGAGTTTGGGATGTCATTTGTATGGTACAGACAATCTATTCGGAATGGAGGAAAACAAAATGGGACGATATCAACGTGGAAAATTTGCAGGAAGAGAACAAAAAGCTTCAAAAGGAGGTCAAAGCCTGTGACAAGATGGTCAAGAATTGGCCTTGTTACAAGGGGCTGGAAGATGCTGTGAAGAATATGGGGACCTCACTTCCTCTCGTGGAAGAGTTGCACCATCCAGCAATGAGGGAGCGACACTGGAATCAATTGATGAAGACGTGTGGGGTTCAATTCAAGATGGATGACTCTTTCACTTTCGGTGGTATGCTTGACCTCGAGCTGCATAGATTCGAAGATGACGTACTCGAAATAGTCGATCGCGCTCAAAAGGAGTTGACAATTGAAAAACAGTTGCAAAAGCTGTCTGAAACATGGAAAAACCAGAATTTGTCGTTTCCACCGGATAGTGAAAATGCGGATTTGTTCTTGCTTTCAGTTGATGAGACTGTCATGGAAGCACTTGAAGATAATTCGCTACAACTTCAAAATCTTCAGAGCTCTAAGTATGTACAGGGCAATCCAGAATTCAAGGAAAAGGTTAGTAATTGGCAAAAGAAACTTGGAATGGTCGACGTAGTTCTATCAACATGGAAAGAAGTTCAGGGCAAATGGCAAAATCTTCAATCAATCTTCATTGGATCTGCAGACATTCGTGTTCAGCTACCTGAAGATTCCAAAAGATTTGATAGCGTTGATGCGCAATGGAAGGATCTCATGAAGGAAGCAGTGAATGAGGTAAATGCTGTGAACGCTTGCAACATCGAAGGCAGATTGGAAAACATAGAGGGAATGCTTTCTAACTTGGAAAAATGTGAGAAATCTCTTGCAGATTATCTGGAAACAAAGAGGGTAGCATACCCAAGATTTTACTTTGTTGCATCTGCAGATCTTCTTGATATTTTGAGTAAGGGAAGCAACCCTCAACTGATCCTGAAACATCTTCCGAAGTGTTTTGATAACATCAAGACCCTAGAATTTCAAAAGGACAAGGAAGGAGTTCCAACAAAAACTGCGATTGGAATGTATTCGGGAGAGGGAGAGTATGTGCCATGGAATAATAGCTTCGTCTGTGAGGGAGCTGTCGAGATCTGGCTGTTCAACCTCACCAACCATACGCACGATGCGTTGAAGTTGAGAATGCAAGAATGCGTCAGCGCGTTCGATGAGAAACCGAGACACGAATTCATCTTTGACTGGTGTGCAGAGCTTGTCCAAGTGGTCTGCCGTATCGTCTATACCGAAGACGTTAACTGGAGTTTTGATCAGCTGGAAGAAGGCAATGAAAATGCTCTCAGAGACTACAACAAAAAACAGATTGACATTTTGACTAAGTATGCTGAACTTATCTTGACTGATTTGACATCGAATGATCGCAAGAAGATTATCATGCTCATGACCTTGGATGTGCATGCACGTGATGTGGTTATTGGTTTGATTGATTCCAAAGCTGAAACCAAAGAAGCATTTGCGTGGATGTCGCAGCTGAAGTTCCACATGGATGAAAAAATCAATGTGGTGAGGATTGAGATCTGTGACTATGTCACTTATTTCGGCTACGAGTATACCGGAAATTGTGGTTGCCTCGTTGTCACTCCTCTGACGGACAGATGTTACATCACTCTGACTCAAGCAATGCGCCTCATCTTGGGTGGCGCTCCAGCTGGTCCTGCAGGAACAGGAAAGACAGAGACTACCAAGGATTTGGGAAGAGCCTTGGGAGTTATGGTCTACGTCTTTAACTGTTCGGATCAAATGGACTACAAGTCCATGGGTCAAATCTTCAAAGGCTTGTCACAAGCTGGAGCATGGGGATGCTTCGATGAGTTCAACAGGTATGGTAGCAGAGGGTTGTAGGGAGAATGACTTCTTGATGCAGGATCGACATTTCCGTTTTGTCAGTCGTTTCTACTCAGTACAAGACGATACTCGATGCGATCAGATCCAAGAAACCTCGATTCATTTTTGAAGAGGAAGATATCGTCTTGAATGACTCGCCCTACTGCTGTGCATTCATTACCATGGTGAGTCACAGGAATTACATCCCGTTTTATATCATCTACGCTTCTCTCTCTCACCAAAACTGACTTTCTTTTTTCAGAATCCAGGTTATGCGGGAAGAACTGAGTTGCCAGAAAGCGTCAAGGCATTGTTTAGACCTTGTGCCATGATCGTTCCCGATATGGACTTAATTTGCGAAATCATGTTAATGTCTGAAGGATATTCTGAGGGCAAAATTTTGGCCAGAAAGTTCATGATGTTATACAGGTTAAGTGAGGCATTACTTTCCGCTCAAATGCATTATGACTGGAAGTTGAGGGCTGTCAAAACCACTCTCAACGTTGCTGGTGGAATGCGAAGAGCTGACAGGAACAATTCGGAAGATCGTGTTCTACTTCGCGCGTTGAGGGACTTCAACTTGGGGAAACTTGTCGCAGACGATGTTGGGATATTCGTGGGTATGATCGACGATCTGTTCCCCAAACAAAGAGAGCACGTTGTGAGAGCAAGGGAGATGGACTTTGAAGAGAAGATCGTAGAGGCTGCAAAGGCATTGATGCTGCAGGCCGAGAATGTTTTCGTGCTCAAAGTTTCGCAGCTCCGAGAAATCGCTTTTGTTCGTTGGTCTGTCTTTGTGCTGGGTCCAGCTGGTTGTGGAAAGTCTGAAATGATCAAGACGTTAGCTAAAGCCCAAAACTTATTCGGAGAGAAGGCCACTATCAATGTCTTGAACCCGAAGTCTGTTACCCGAAACGAGTTGTATGGATACATTCATCCTGTTACGAGAGAATGGAAAGACGGGTTGCTTTCGCAAATTTTTCGAGATTTAGCGAACACGTTCACCTGCAAATCTGAGTATCTTGTGCTTGATGGAGACATAGATGCGGAATGGATCGAATCAATGAACACTGTGATGGATGACAACAAGACCTTGACTCTGGCTAGCAATGAAAGGATTCCTTTGACCCCACCCATGCGTCTCCTGCTTGAGATTGAAAACATGAGGGAAGCTTCTCCAGCCACAGTCTCTCGAGGTGGAGTCATCTTCATGAACGACACTGACGTAGGATGGAATCCTTTCGTCGCCAGTTGGATAGCAAACCGTGAGTATGAAACAGAGAGGACCATGTTGCAAAAGTTGTTTGATACCTACGTTGCGAAATGCTTCGAGTGGATGCGTAAGAATTGCTCAACGATAGTTCCATTACCTGAGATTTGCCGGGTGCAACATCTCTGTTATATCTTGGAAGGAATCCTTGGAAACGGAGACACGTTTGCTGGACAATGCAAATCTATGGGTCAGGAGTCAGCGTTTCAACTCCTTGAGTCCTACTTTGTTTTCGGAGCCATGTGGGCGATAGGAGGAGCAACTTTCACTGACAAGCAAGTGGACCACAGGAAGAATTTCGACAGATGGTGGAGGGATGAGTTCAAGACCATTCGATTTCCAGAGGATGGAAGCATCTTTGACTACTGTGTTAGTGAGGAACTTTTTCCTTTGAAGCTTGAGAACGAGATATACACAAGCCCATTCATTCAATGGACTTCCAAGGTAACAGAATACAATCATGACCCTACACTTGTCTTCGGCAACATTTATGTTGCCACGATGGAGACGCAGCGACTTAGTTACTTGCTGCAGCTGCTGCTTCCGAACAGACACGCTTGTATGTTTGTAGGTGGAGCAGGAACAGGCAAGACAACGATAATGAATGACTATCTGCGAGGAATGGACACGGAAAATTATACGTATATGAACATTAACCTGAATTGTTTCACAGATTCGATGTTATTGCAGAGCGCAATGGAATCTGTGCTTGAAAAGAAGACTGGACGTACCTTTGGTCCAGTTGGAACCAAGAAGATGGTGTATTTCATTGATGATATCAACATGCCTCAAGTAGACAAATATGGCACACAGCAGCCTATTGCTCTTCTACGCCAGTTGTTCGATTATGATGGATGGTATTCTCGTGACAAATTGACCTGGCGAGACATTCAAAACGTTCAATTCGTGTCCTGCCTGAACCCCACTGCTGGTTCGTTTTACATCGATCCACGTCTACAGAGATCCTACTGCACCTACTCGGTGCAGATGCCTTCAGCAGAAAGCCTTCAGTACATCTTTAGCAGCATTCTGTCGGGACATTTCAAGTCATTTTCACCAGACGTTCAATCCAAATGCAATGATATCACGAAAGCATCCATCGAGTTGCTGACATTGGTTGCCAACACGTTCTTTCCCACAGCCGTCAAGTTCCATTACATCTTCAATCTTCGTGATGTTGGCAACATCTTCGAAGGCTTACTACGATCAGACGCTAAGTACATGAACAATGCCTTTCAGGTAGTCAGACTGTGGCTTCATGAATCGGAGCGTGTTTTTGCCGACCGCATGATTGTGGAGGAGGATGTGAACAAGTTCTTTGAAATGCAAAGTAATGTCACCAAGAAGTATTTTGAAAGTCTCGGAATGGAGAAGCTGATGGCAAAGCCCAACATCTTCACCACGTTTACAACCCCTGGAGAAAGTGATGATTATCGGCCCTATTGCCCCATCGACAATGAAGACAAGTTATCAAGCATTATGCAGGACAAGCTCAAGGAGTACAATGAAACAAACGCCGTCATGGATCTCGTTCTCTTCACCATGGCTATCGAACATGTTTGCAGAACCACAAGAGTGATTGATAAGCCAAGAGGAAACGCTCTGTTGGTTGGCGTTGGCGGCAGCGGAAAGCAGAGTCTTTCCAAACTGAGCGCATTCATTTGCGGATACGAATTCTTTCAGATAACGGTTACCGCAGCATACGGAATGAACGACTTTCGTGACAACCTGATCTACCTTTATACTCGAGCTGCCTGCAAGTCGATAGGAACTTGCTTCATCCTCACAGATGGACAGATCGTGAACGAAAGGATGATGGTTTTTCTCAACGACATGTTGGCTTCAGGGAATATTCCCGACGTTTTCACCAAGGATGTGAAAGACGAATTCATCAACTCTGTCCGTAATGACGCAAAGCAAGCTGGAGTAATGGAAACGCCTGAAAATTTGTGGGAATTTTTTATCGAGAAGAGTCGCAAGTATTTACATCTATGCCTATGTTTCTCACCGGTAAGTTTTCATTTGCAACTTTCTTGTCTAATATAACACTGTTGACAGGTTGGAGACAAGTTCCGTGTAAGAGCGCGACAATTCCCGGCGTTGATTAATTGCACGACCTTTGACTACTTTCATCCATGGCCAGAGGAAGCCCTTGTGTCAGTTGCAAATCGATTTGTGAAGGGTGTCGATGGTATCCAACCCGAGGATACAGACAAGGTCGCCAAGCACATGGCATATGTCCACCTCAATGTCAACATCAAGTCAGAAGAATACTTGGCAAGTGAGCGGAGGTACAACTACACTACACCCAAAAGCTTCCTTGACCTCATCTCGCTGTATAAATTCATGCTGAACGACAAGAAAGAAAAGATTCACGTCTTGAAAGATCGCTTGGAGAATGGCCTTGAGAAGATGAATTCAGCTGCAGAGCAAGTGGCTGAGCTGCAAGAGAACCTGATCAAGGACATGGCTTTGGTGGAAGAAAAGAAGACGTCTACGAACGAACTGCTGCAAGTAGTGGCTCAAGAAACGAACTCAGCGGGTGAGCAAAAGGCTATCGCAACCGAGGAGGAGAAGAAGTGTGCCAAGATCGCAGAAGAAGTGACAGCATTTCAAGCCGAATGCGAGAAAGACATGGCAGCTGCTGAGCCCATCATTCAAGCCGCCATCGAGGCTCTCAACTCGTTGGACAAGAAGTCTCTCACTGAACTGAAGGCCCTGGCATCTCCTCCAGCAGGAGTCGACGACGTGACAGCAGGTGATATGCCTTGAGATGTGTTGCTTGATGGTAGTGACGTGGCTTCCAGGTGTGATGGTCTTGATGGGTGGGGGTAAGATCCCTAAAGATGTCTCCTGGGGTGCAGCGAAGAAGTTGATGGGCAACGTCGATCAGTTCTTGTCGGCCTTGATCAACTTTGACAAAGACAACACCCCTGTCGTTGCCTGTGAGTGGATCGAGAAGAATCTGTTCTCAAAACCTACCTTCAACGTGGAGACTATGAAATCGAAATCGTCTGCTGCTGCTGGAATGTGTGGATGGGTGATCAACATTGTGAAATATTACAGGATCTACGAAGTTGTTGAACCAAAAAGACAACTGCTGAGTGAGGCCAATACCAAGCTCGAAGATGCAAATACAAAACTCGCTGCCGTCCGCGAGCATGTCGCTGGCCTGGAAGCAAAACTTCAAGAACTGAACGATCAATTCGAGGCTGCGACTCAAGAAAAGAATGAAGCCATTGCTGCTGCTGAGAAGACTCAGCGAAAAGCTGACTTGGCTACCAGGCTCGTGAATGGTCTGGCTGATGAAAATGTCAGGTGGACTGAGGCAGTAAAGTCTTTCGATCAACAAGAAGCGCAGTTTGTTGGAGATGTGCTCATTGCGTCTGCATTTGTTTCATACATTGGAGCATTCAACGCTAAGTTTCGAAGTGCGCTAGTGGACGATATATGGCTGCCTGACATGATAGCCAAGGAGATTCCGATGACAGCAGGCATTCACCCACTCAACATATTGTGTGATGACTCAGATGTAGCTCGGTGGAACGGTGAAGGGCTTCCGGCAGACACGATCTCTATCCAGAACGGCGCAATCATAGCCAACTGCAAGCGCTGGCCGCTGCTCATCGACCCACAGATCCAGGGAATCAAGTGGATCAAACGGAAGCACACCGAAGTCATCCATGAGCAGAAGCCAGAGGACTGGGACGAGGAGAAAGAGTTCGTTCCTGATCCTGCCAAGTCCACAGTGAGGGAGATGAAATGCATTCAACTGACGCAGGCCAAATATCTGAGTCAGGTAGAGGTCGCCATTCAGAATGGAGAGGCCATCATGATTGAGAACATCCGCGAGGAGATCGATGCTGTGCTGGACCCTGTCTTGATGAGAGCTACCATCCGCCGTGGCCGTGCTCTGCTCATCAAACTTGGAGACAAGGAGGTGGAGTACGACCCTAACTTCAAGTTGTACATCCAGACAAAGCTGAGCAACCCGCATTACAAACCAGAAATCGCTGCTCAAACGACTTTGATCAATTTCATGATAACATCGGATGGATTAGAGGAGCAGCTGCTTGGAATGGTTGTGAACAAAGAAAGGCCTGACTTGGAAGAGCAGAAGACGATGTTGATCGAGCAGCAGAACAGCTTCAAGCTCATGCTGAAGGAGTTGGAGGACGAGTTGCTCTATCGTCTCAGCACTTCACAAGGGGACATCCTGGAGGACATCGAGTTGATTGAGGGCCTTGAGAAGGCTAAAGTCACGGCCACTGAGATTCAAGCCAAACAGAAGGTGGCGAAAGAGACAGAGGTGGTGATAGCGAATGCGCGCAAGGCATACATTCCTGTGGCTGTACGGGGTGCCTTGACCTATTTCCTGATAGACCAGCTGTGGGTGCTCGATCACATGTATCGCTTCTCTATGGCCAATTTCGTTACCATCTTCAAGAAAGGGATGGATGCTGCAGACCAAGAAGGCGCATCAGAAGAGAATGCCGAAGGCAATGAAGAATCAGCCAAGACCAACCTGACTGACAGGGTCAACAAGTTGATAGACTCCTCCTGCTATCAATGCTTCTCTTATGTATCTCAGGTAAGAGATGACTTGAGAGGGGTTCGAGAGATTGATTTGTTTGCAGGGCCTCTTTGAGCGTCATAAGTTGGTGTTTGCATGCCAGCTTTGCTTCCAGATCCTTGCAAGATCAGGAGATCTGATCCCAGAGATGTTTGAGTTTCTCATCAAGGCGCCAAGAGCGTCGGGGATAGACAACCCCCTCAACGAGTGGCTCGATGATGCGTCGTGGCTGACTTGCAACTCGTTGAAAAACTTTGAGGTGTTCGAGAAGTTTCCGGACGACCTGGTGGGATCGTCAAAGCGATTTCGGGAATGGTTTGAGCTGGAGAGGCCGGAGGAGCAGGCGCTGCCGGGAGACTGGCGCAAACTGCCAGAATTCGAGAAGCTGCTGATCATCAGGGCTCTGAGAACAGATCGAATGAGCGAGGCTCTCACGTCGTTTGTCAAGAACATCATGGGAGCCAAGTATGTGACATCGCAAGCCTTCAGCCTGGAGAAGTCCTACTCGGACGTGTCACCCCAAACCCCTGTAAGAGAGTGCTCTCTTCGCCTGCTTCCCCCTTGTCAGCTGAAGGCATTCGTCTGATGTTTTGTGCAGGTATTCTTCATCCTCTCTCCTGGGGTAGATCCCGTCAAAGACACGGAGAAGCTGGGAAAGCAATACGGGATCGCGTTTGACAACGGGAACTTCTCCTTGGTCTCGCTGGGTCAGGGGCAAGAGCCCGTGGCAGAGAGGGCCGTTGAGAGCTCCTTCAAGAATGGAGGATGGGCGTTCTTGCAGAACATTCACCTGACTCCCAAGTGGACGGGAGGATACTTGGAGAAGAGATGCGACGACCTCGAAGGTGCTCATGACGACTTCAGGATGTTTCTATCCGCTGAGCCAGCCAAACTCCCTATCAACATTCTGCAAGTGTGTGTGAAGTTGACCAACGAGCCACCGGAGGGGTTGGGTCCCAACCTCAGGAAGAACTGGCTTCCGTTCTCTGACGACTTCTTTGAGTCCAGCGCAAAACCTGGTGAACTGAAGTCGATCACCTTTGCGCTTTGCTTGTTTCATGCGGTCGCCATTGAGCGCAAGAAGTTTGGACCGCAAGGCTGGAACAGAGTTTATCCGTTCAACTTCGGTGACTTGACGAGCTGTGCACAAGTAGCGATGAACTACCTTGAAACCAACACCAAGGTTCCCTGGGACGACTTGAGGTACATCTTCGGTGAGATCATGTACGGCGGGCACGTCACAGATCACTTTGACCGCCGCCTGGTCACCACCTACCTCATGGGCTACATGCACGACGACTTGCTCGAAGGCTTCCAGATCTTCCCAGGGTTTCAGACGCCTCAGAACTCAGGGAACGCCAAGGACATCCTGGAGCACATCGACACGACGTTCCCTCAAGAGTCGCCGACAGCCTTCGGCCTTCATCCCAACGCAGAGATCGGGTTCCGGCTGATGCAGGCGGAGACCATGTTCAGGAACGTGCAGGAGCTGCAGCCTCGCGGGTCCGCCGGGATGGGCGGACTGTCTCTGACTGAGAAAGCCAAGATGCAGCTGGACGACATCGTGGAGAAGCTGCCCGACTCCTTTGAGATCGTGGAGATCTTGGAGCGAGTAGAGGAGCGGACCCCGTACGTGAACGTGTTCCTGCAAGAGATCGAGAGGATGCAGACGTTGATCCAGAAGATGAAGAGCTCGCTGCAGGAGCTCGACCTCGGTCTGCGCGGGGACCTTCAAATCACTGAGAACATGGAGAGCTTGATGTCTGCGCTAGCCAACGGAGTGAGGCCCTCAGGTTGGGATAAATACGGCTACCCATCCAAGAGAGTCCTAGGGACGTGGATCCTTGACCTCCTTGCAAGACAGAAACAGTTGTCAGACTGGACTGGAGACATGAGTCTGCCCAAGTCGACTTGGATCTCTGGACTGTTCAACCCTCAGTCATTCCTGACGTCAGTGATGCAAACGACCGCAAGAAAGAATGACTGGCCCCTCGACAAGACTGTCACTCAAACCGAAGTGACCAAGAAGACAGCTGAGGAAATCAACGCCGCCAGCAAAGACGGAGCGTTCGTGCATGGTCTCTTCATGGAAGGAGCACGATGGGACGATAAGTCAGGGACCATCGAAGAGTCTCGCCCCAAGGAGTTGTTCGCTAAGATGCCCGTCATCCTCATCAAAGCTGCCATGTTCACGGGGGTAGAGCCCAAGGATACCTACCTCTGCCCTGTCTACAAGACTCAAGACAGAGGCCCCACCTTTGTCTTCAATGCCGGCCTGCGCACAAAGTCTCCTCCTTCCAAGTGGATCCTCGGAGGCGTCGGCCTGCTCATGGATGTTGCCTGAGTCAAGTAGTCACGGTCTCCTTCCGAAGTCCTTTCATAGTCAGTCATTCATAAACGTTCAAGAAACTGACATCGTTAGTAGTCTTTGTCATACTCTCATTCTCACTTCCTTCTTGAGTTCCCCTTGTTCATGACCGCTGCTCGTGTCATGCAATAGCTTGAGCGTCAGCCTCTGTCGGACGGTCGCCATGATCGTCCGACTCGGGCGTTGTCAGTGGCTCATAACCTTCCAAACAAGGGCTCCTCCCATCAGGCCCTCATCCCCGCTCTTGTCCGTTAATTTGATGTTTTTTTTCAAACCCCGAGGCGTCATGTTCGGACCCTGCAGGAGTGAGGAAGGAGAGGAGAAGAGAACAAGGAGGAGGAGGAGCCGAAAGATGTTGAGGAACTAGATCGAAGAAGATCTCTGCGTTGTTCATCAAGGAGGTAGCTTTACATCTTGCTTCCTCCAAGATGAATCCATCGGTAAGCATGAAACCCTTCTCTGCTTCAAAGTTTGAGATTGAAACTCAACTGCCAACAGCTCTCTCGTGATGAAAACCTTCAAGTGCAGCAAAGAAAGCATACTCTACCTGTTGTGTTGTGGAATGGTAGTCCTACGAGTTCTAAGGGTACCGTCAACACCGCGCACGTCGAAAGCTCTATAACACAACATAACGAGGAAATAGGCAGAGACAAGCCAAGCCATCGCCCTCAGAGGTGTATCATGTGTCACTGTGAAAATCTTGAGCGCTGATGAATGTCTTCAAGATCGGGCGCGGGCTCCTCTTCTTCGAACTCCATACCATGTCAGCACCTTGAACTTCTCTGCGATACCTGTGACGTTTGTTCAGTCATTGGTTTATTTGCGTGCGGCATGAGCAACGCACTTGACGTTCTCTTCACATCTGGTGCCCTGGACATCATGAAAGTTGCCTCTGATTTCTGACCGTTTCGTTCAAACCGAAAAGCTGTTTTCAACGTCTACTTCTTCGGGATCGAAGCTCAAGGTCTCCATAGTCGATCTCAGTTCTGCTCTGACCTGTCGTCTTTCTCCCGACAGAGTCAACTCCACACCTGAGGTAGTTGAGTCGCCTTGTGATGCTCGCACTGGGTTCAATCCCTCACAGGGGCTTGTGGTGGGCCCACCTCACCCTTTCTGCTGTCGCTGTCTTGTCTGGTGAGCAGCCAGGGATCATGACGCGATATGCTTGCCTGACGTGCGTCAGGATTCCTCACCTTCGCATACCTTGCATGCAGACGGAGAACTCGCAAGGGTATGTTTTGATGTTGCGCTCTCACTAGCAGCTCCTCTGCCTCACTGGGGCTATGATCGGAAGATGCGTGTAACGATGCGTTCAGTGTGGTTTTGCTCTTTCTCCTGCGTCGTTCTCGCGTCTCTTGGACTTTTCGTGGTGAGACTTGCGGAGTTGAGGGACAAATCGACAACATTGAACAGGTCGAGCTGTTGATGTACTGGACGATCATCCATGCAAGTTTCGAAGGTGTTCTGAATCAGCTGATTCCAAGATTGATGACAAGCGGTTGACGTGCAGAAGTTCGTGCCACCCTCAGAGCGTTGACAATCTTCACGCGCCTGATGACGATGATCACTTGCGTCAAAGAAGTCGAAGTGAGCTCCAGAGATTCTTCTACTTGAGTCACCCGCATTGCAGCTGCGCAGAGAGGCGTGTAAGCAAGACAGACCTCTTAGACCGTTTTCCACAGGTTCTCTGACAGATCGTGCTTCTCGCCACGCTCGAGTAACAACTTTACAGCTGTCACCAACACTTCTCGCTTGAGGACGCCTTCTCCTCCTGCTTCCTCTCTTCCTCCCACAAGCAAGCTAGTGTACGAAATGATAACGTGTCATTGTTTCATGAGTTGTTGCTTCTCTTTCATCGGCTTTACTGACTATTGCTCTGCTTACAGAGAGCCAGTGAGACCGGCTGCAATGAGCGTGACTGCAAGGTACACGATAGGGAGACTGTGATGGAGAATGATACAACGGTCAGTGCAAAGTTGTTTCTCGACGGTCAGACGAAGGAACCGAAGGATTCGCTGGTGCTGCTTGAAACGTCTTGTATCTTCTTGACCCTGTCCCTTCTGCTGCCTCTCAGTCACCGGGAAAGATCCCCAGCCTGTGGCAACCTCCGTCAGAAGACCAATCGACAGGTCAGCCCGACTTGATCTCTTGACTTCCTCAGCTCTTCCCTTAGCAAAGTCGTCTCTCCTGCGCGAAGATGACTTGGCCAAGACTCTCAGTGATGAGACTCGCGCTGGTTCCCCATGGCTGACAAGTTGACAGACGTGACATCAACGATGCCCAGCAGAGTCAATGCGGCGCCGTCGACCAGGTCCTGCAGGCCCTTCACCATCGCCCCTCACTTTGTGAAGCAGAGGAACGAGCCCCTTGTACTCGGAATCCAAGGCGACAGATGGCGGGAGCTCAGTGCCTCTCGCCAGGGATATCAACTACATGGAAGGGATTCAGGCGTTCGACAACTACATCCAGTCGGCGAAGTTGGAGTACGAGCAGTACCAGACGGCACTGGAGAGAGACAAGGAGCTCAACATGTCGAGACAGATTGACTTGAACATCTACGACTCTCAGGAGGATCAGGTGACTCGCAACTTTCTCCTTCCTCCCCTCTCCCTTTCGTCTCATCCCCCCTCCTCCAGGGTTCCTTCTATTCCGAGCTTCCTCTTGCTCCAGCTACGAGCTCGTCGACTCCAGCTGCCAGGTGCTCGTCGGGTCAAGTCGTTTGTTTCATGTCAACCATCGTGACAGGCCGCAGCTTATGGAGCCCCAGCAGGGGATCACCAACAACGAAAACAACAGATCTTCGGCTGCCTCTGAGAGGCTCCACTCGCACAGGATCAAGAGGAATCTCCGCATGGCCCATCAGTACGAGTTGCCAATCGACGCCATTTTCCAGCTCTGAGTGAGTGAAGCGAGACACGACAAACGAGTCTCGTCTGATCGGGGACTCGGTGGGTTCAATACTTCATTTGATACTTCTTCCACAGACTCGAAAGGTCGTCGTTTGTCCTCTCTCCCGACTTGCTTCCCCCAGCTGCCGCTAGTGACGCGTGGAGTCCACTCCGAACTCTCTCCAGCTCGCTCAGAACGTCCGACGTGTTGGCATCCAACGCACGCGGCCTGCTCGAGTTTGCTCCCGTCATGTCCCGGGCAGCATCAAACGTTCGATCTCCGGGCTCAGCTCGTAAGACCCCCGGGGTCTGCTGCCCATACGTCATGCGCCGACTGGCCGAGTCGAAGGAGCTTCCGATGCGACTGCTGACGACGGGGCTTTGACTGTACGATGAGAAACGGTTTCGTTCAGACTCGAGGTTCGCCAGGATCGTTTGAAAGTCTGAAGGCATCGGCTGCTGCCCCTCAGTCTTGGCGCCGGTCATGGTCGACTTCAAGTACTCATAAGCAGGCGACGACCTCGCACTCTGCTGGGGCGTCCCAAAGTCATCTTTGACTTGATTCCTGACAAGGCGACAAGAGTCAGGAGGAGGAGGAGGAGGGAAAGAAACCTACGTTCTCTTCACGTCGTCGGCGAAGGATGGCGGCATAGGAGGTAAGGAGCTTCGGCTGCTGTATTCGACTTCATCTGCTCCGCCTCGGAAGCGAGTGGAGTGGTAGGAAGGGCTGAAGTTCATCTGGGGGTACGGGGGCAGCACAGCCTCTCGCCTGCTCTCCTCCTGCTTGCTGGACTGCGAGAACTTCATGTCGTAGAGGTCTTCTTGAGTTCGAGTTGACAACTCAGCGACACTGGGCACGTTGCTGTGCCCGTAGAGCAGACCAGAATAGTTGTGAGAGAGCAAGGAGAACGGCTTCTGCGCTGGAGGCGATGGCTCGTCCGCTGAGTCGGAGGCGCTCCTCGTGATTCTTCCTTCGGCAATGCCCTCCCATACACCCGTCACAACATTCTGGACTTTTTCGCGTTTGCCTCCGTCTTGTGTTTGTCTTTCGGAGACACTCGTCTTTGCAATCTGAGGGTTTGGTTGATTCTCTCCTATGTTCGTTGTGAAAGAGAAAATCGCCGCGTTGACATTTGGATTGTATGGTAGATCGTGATTGACTAGTGCACCTGAAACCGTCACGCTCACTCAATCACTAAGCAACTCGATGTTTTTAAAAAAAGATTGAAGGAAGAAAAGAAAAACATTTTACCTCTAGGAGATGCTTCATAAACGGCATCTCTGTGACCCCTTCTATCAGAAACCTGACTTCAGATTCGCAACTTTACCTTGTCCCGATCTCTTTTGAAATGTGCATCTATTGTAAACAAAAAATGAAGTCAGGATCAGAATGGCAGAAGAAACCTCAAGAAATTGATGTTGAGTACCCTGAATGGTATGTCCTTGGATGGTTGATTCGACAAGGTAGAGGGCTGTTCAACACGAGTGTGATACAACATGATGCCAACAACCAAGCTTACCAACTCTTGCTGCATCATTGTATTGCTGTCGATTTTCTCAACCTTCTGAACGCTGTTGTCAACCAGCACCTGATTTGAATCAGTTCAAGAAAGTAACATCGCAAGCTGACCTTATAAGAAACATCAGTCTCTGGACTTTCTTTCCAGGCATTCGACAGAGAATCTTCTTGTCCGCTGCTCTGCCCTTGTTGATCTATTGCCGTTCCTTCGATATGTTTTCTTTCGACTTGTTCAACCTTGCTGCTAGCTTTGACCTTCTCCGTCTCCTCGACTTCATTTTGAGTTTCACCTTGCACATATTGTTGTATGCCTTGGTTTGTTGAATCGGACTGTCGTGCTGCAGTGGCTTCTGACGGCTGTTTGTGCACATTCTCATCACTTTGACCTTTGTCTGCATCAGGTCGCACATCAGGCTCTTTCTTCTGTTTTGTCTCTTCCTCCATCATCAGCTGCTGCCGCTTCTGCTCGTGGAACAAGAGCACGGGCTTGGTTGTGTCAGACCTGTCTTGACGCGTCTTGTCGTTAGGAGATCGTAAGGTAGTGGTGCTGGTGCTGGTGCTGGTGCTGGTGCTGGTGCTGGTGCTTTTGGGACTATCGAGCTTACTGCTATTTTCAACGACATCCGGTGTGTTTTTGGCTTCAGCCACCGGTTTCGACGAGGCTGCTCTTGATGCTGCTTGAACTTTATCATCGTCTTTCAAAGGTTGTTCCATTGATTTATCTGGTGGTTTGCTGCTTCGTGGCAATTCTTCTTTCAGACTTGTTTCTGATAGCTTCGAATCAGATGGTTGACTGTGACTGTCACTTTCCTTGGCTTTGAGTTTGGAAGGAGACAGTTCATGTGTGCTCGACTCTTGTCTAATGCCAGCATCGACTCCACCGTTGGGTTTCGGTTCGGCTGGGAGCTCAGAGGCTGGCGGTTGCTTGAGGTTGGACTTGAGCTCGGGTCTGCTTTCAGGCTGCCCTTGTTCATCCTCCATCCGCTTGTCGCTCTCCGATGTGTCTTCCACGTACTCGGGGATCGCAAAGTGCTCCAGCTCTTGTTGCTTCAGAGGCTCCTGCTGCCTGCAGGCAAGCAGCATCAGAGCGGTACCAGAGGCTTATCGTTACCTTGGTGTTTCAACTCTAGCAGGGTTGCTCTGACTCCTCCCTCGGTGATCTGCAAGGCGTTGGATCAGAGACTTGACATGCGTCAGCTCAGCAGGAACGCACCAGCATTGGGAAGAAAGGTAGGAGGGGTGGAGATGACAAAGTTAGGGAAGAACTGTCGGATGCACATGCTTTGTTCTTCATATTGTTTGCGTGTCTCAGCCAGCCGTTTGTCATACCACTGAATGGCGTTGAAGAAGTCGTACTGTATGACTTGAGATGCTAGATATGGAGTAGCAAGCTTGACCTGATTGACAATGGTTAGAAGAAGAGCAGCAGCAACATCCAAAGTTTGTTGTCGTACAATCAAAGCTTGAGAAGAAGGCCTGTTAGAAGGATTTTCAGATAAGCAGGCTCGGCAGATGTCTTGTATATTTTTCGAATAGGATTGAGGAATCTGACGGTATACGTGTTAAGAATCGAATGAAACATGGTTAGCAGCGAAACTAGTGGGTAATTACCCATTCGAACCATATTCGTTTATCTTTCTCATAGGTCGGGTGATTCAAGGTGAGGAGCTCGAAAAGTACACATCCTAAAGACCATATGTCCGCCTTGTTTGAGTAGTCTTGCTTGTTATAAACTTCAGGAGCCATGTACCTGAGCAATCCAACGTTTTATCATAGAAATTCAACCATAGGTGTGAAAACCGTTTCGTGCCGACTCTTTTTTCAAGCTCTGGTGCCACAGTCTGTGTTGTTTGACCTGCAACTTGATTTGTTGTGAGTGAGATGTTTTGCTGAGCTCAAGGGCGACCATTACCAGCATCCAATACTTTTGAGATGCCGAAATCGCCCACTTTCACCGTCCTGCCATCGGCCATGAGGAAGATGTTGGAGGGCTTGATGTCTCGGTGGATGACTTGCTCTTGGTGGGCGTAGTCGAGAGCCTCGCAGACCTGACGCACAAGACTGACGGCAAGCAGACACAAGACTGACGGCAAGCAGACACAAGACTGACGGCAAGCAGACACAAGACTGACGGCAAGCAGACACAAGACTGACGGCAAGCAGACACAAGACTGACGGCAAGCAGACACAAGACTGACGGCAAGCAGACACAAGACTGACGGCAAGCAGACACAAGACTGACGGCAAGCAGACACAAGACTGACGGCAAGCAGACACAAGACTGACGGCAAGCAGACACAAGACTGACGCCAAGCAGACAGCCCTGCCAGCCATACCTGAATCAACCACAGCGTGATGATCTCCTCGTTAATGTGTTGCTTGGCACCCCTTGCCTTGATCTTTCCACGCCAAGCAAGCGTTAACGTATTGAATCATCCTCAACAGATCATGATCTTACAATTTCGTTTCGCAGATCTCCTCCATCAGCATAATCCATAACAATACACAGCTGATTGTTGCCTACGATAGTCATTAGAACTTCAATGCAGCCTTGGAAAATCACTCACTAGTGTAAAAATCGCACATCTCGATGATGTTACGATGTTTTAGATGCATCATAACACGAATTTCTTGCACTTTCAGATTGTTTTCTCTTAGATTATCAACTACCTAAAATTCCAATGTCAACTGGACTTTGTTTTGGGCAATCACTCAGTCGTGAGATCAAGTAGGTCGTTAGAAGAGCGTCAGCCACAACGCACGGGCGAACAAGAGAGGACCATGATGTCTCTGGCATCTAGAGCTTCACCTTCACGACGTAAGTCTTCTTGTCTCGTCGTCCTTCTGTCAGGTACACAGTCCCAAAGCTTCCCTTCCCCAGCTCCTGCTTCGCCCGGTACCGCTGCAGCACCATCTTCACCGCCTACAATACACCCCCACCCTTTCAATGCTTACCCCCACCCCTCATATAAATCACAACCCCATGCAAAATTATCTTCTGACCCCCATTTTTCCCATAATATCGGGTCAATTTACCACCCTACAATCCGAACCACCACTGCCGTCGACACCCCTAACCCCCTGGTTGCCAGGAATAACTATGACCCCTGGTGCCGAGCGCAAGACCGTGTCAATGGGTGGGGTGGGTGAACGGCTCGGCGTCGGGCGGACGTTCCGAACTCGGAAGTTCAGACCCGCGGGCCCGCCGGGCCATCCGGCAATGTGGTGGGAAATGGGTGGGTAGGATGAAGTAATTAGGTGGGTAGGGTAGTCATCAGGGGTCCTTTGAAGCTTGTATGACTGGTCGATATAGGGGTGGGGTGAGTAGGTCGGGAGGGCCGCCTCAGAATGTTGCAACGGCAGAAGAGCATGAGAGAATCAGTGGATGATGAACGCGACAAGAAGAGATGAAGCGAGGAGAAGATGAAGCGAGGAGAAGATGAAGCGAGGAGGACATGAAGCGAGGAGGACATGAAGCGAGGAGAAGATGAAGCGAGGAGGACATGAAGCGAGGAGGACATGAAGCGAGGAGGACATGAAGCGAGGAGGACATGAAGCGAGGAGGAGGAGAAGCGAGGAGGAGATGAAGCGAGGAGGAGATGAAGCGAGGAGGACATGAAGCGAGGAGGAGGAGAAGCGAGGAGGAGATGAAGCGAGGAGGACATGAAGCGAGGAGGAGGAGAAGCGAGGAGGAGATGAAGCGAGGAGGAGATGAAGCGAGGAGGAGATGAAGCGAGGAGGAGGCAAGAACGCTCAGGACAGGGCTCAGGAGACGCTTTGCTTGGTGAACTTGAGATTAGAAGGAAGATAACGAGTCGTAAAGCATGTAAAGCGAAGGTTGTGAAATCGCAGAGAGGCAGACGAGAGAGAGAGCGCAACTAACGGACAGATGTGTGGGATTATGGCATGACAGGCTGCCCAGGGCCGCATGGAAAAGAGGCAGCTTCATCTCAGCCTAGTGTGATGCATCAGCATAGAATGTTTCAGGATCTATGATAGTGACCGATGATCGTCAATTTGTTCTCCAAGAAAGCTAAGAGGTGGCTCAACCCTGGCAACGTGTACCCAACACTTAGCATGTGCTGCAGGCCCAAGAGCGGCTCGTCTGCTGGACGCTCAAGCTCAGGAAAGCGAGAGGAGGAGAGGTCAGGGCCCTCATTGCACGCATGGCTGCATGAGCGCAGAGGTTGCAGGCGGTCGAGGAGCTGCCGAGGGTCTCACATGCCCGACAGGCGTCGCTCTCCGCCCCTCCTCAGCCAGGCCTGCAAACACTGCCGGCCTTGACGAGCTGCCGTCCCTCCAGCCCAGTCACGGGCCCCGACAAGTTTCGAGCGTGACGAGCCGAGGAGAAGATTGGCGGCCGCAGAGCGCAAGTAGTGCGATGCTGTTGCTGTGGATGGAGGTGACCTCGGCTCCGTCTGACCTGCTTCTCCTTCTCATGTGCAGGAGCAAGACTGCAGGCGCACTTGGCGCTCGAGCACAAGACTAGAATCACTCTGAGCGGTCGCTTGCTCTGTCAAGGTTGCCTGAGAGCTCATGCAACGCCTGGCAGATGGGGTCTCGACGCAAGCACAGGGCTTGCCGTTGCAACACGAGGATGAAGAGAAGCTTTGCGAGAAAGATGGCGACCCAGCACCCGATTCCTCGTCGTCTCCTGACTTCCACGACGTTGCTGTAGACCATGATCAAACCATTCTGTTTGCCAAGAAATCAATCGTTGAGGCGCAGATTGCCATGAAGGTCCGTATAAGAGTTATGTCATTCCCGAAATTGAATCTTTTTGTTTCATTAGAAGTTCTCAGAAGAAATTTCAAAGGACGAAACGGTACCACACTAGATCATGTGAACAATGTCAGGTTGATGATGACCATGCTTGATATCGCAGGTCAACCAAGTATCTGAAGACTCTCTCTACTGCAAGGTGAGACAGACCTCTACTCCTCACTCAATTTTTGACAGGCAACGCAGGAACTCACTTCACCGTCGAAGTTGAGCCCCACAAGAGGATGGACGTCTCCTTTTCCCTCCACCCCCACCTCGTTTCAAGCTGTCATGGCGCAGACGAACGTTGAGAAAGATGTAGTGCGGTTGCGGGACAAAGACAAGAAGGCCGGCAAGTTCAGTTCGTTGGAGAAGCTTGCGAGTAGGAAGAGCAACAAGATGAGAGTCGATGCTCTTCACAAGTGTATCAAAGCCATCGAGAAGCTGTCTGTCGCCTTGGATCGCGAGTCGGCTCAAAACAAGGTCAGGCATGACGCCTGCCCATGTCATCCCTATGACACTGTGAGCAAACAGACTCTTGTCAAAGTGTTGTCGTCATGCGGTCTCCCTAAGGAGAATGAGCCTCCCCGCCACTATCTTGACCAGTCAGCCTCATGGCGAGGTAGAAGTGCCGCAGCACGAGCGTCCTACGTGGCAAACATGGTGCCAGGAGCAGAGCTCAAGGTCCCGTCGCGAGTGCCATGTGCGAGCATGACCAGCGGCAGGTGCTCAAGACTATGCCGCAAGATTGGCTGCAATCGATGGAGAAGGTCATCGCACTGAAGCTTGTCAACGCTCAGGTGGTAGGAGAGGCTGCCATGGAGCCCTCACTGTTGCTTGTCACAAGCAGCTCACTGCCGAGCTTGCTGAGCTCGAGAACAAGAGAAGCGAATTTGACCCGCCTGGTGGAGAGGGAGGAGAAGACGGGAGAAGAATGCAGCACCAAGGGGCTTCGATACACGCGGCTGCCAAGTGAGTGAAACTCGTGCTGTGCTGTCTCTCTAAGTTGCTTGCAGTCAAGCTTCTTCTCATGACCAAGTGACCTGCTCGGTGACTTGAACGAGCTGACGATGACGAGCAGGAGAGACGTCTGGATGTCACGAATGAATCAGAGCTCGCCAAGACCATCGCCATCTTTAACGAGAGGGTGAGAGATCGCTCGAGAGTCGTCTCTGCTTCTTTTGCAACTGTGTCAAGTTGCTACCGTTGACTCTGGTGTCAGCTGCAAGCCAACTATTCCGAGTTGAGAAAACGAATCTACGATCACCAGGCTCCATTGGGCGAGAAAGAGCAACTTGTGCTTGTGGACGAGGTTGAAGCCGTCCGCATGGGAAACTGTTTGACTCTGAGCCCTCTAGGTTCGCGGTCTCCAGCAGATTCTCTCAGAGGTGAACGCTGCCATGCGCAGCCTGCAGCTGGACAAGAGGTCTGCACCTCCCTTACTGAATCACGTGACATCCTTGCTCAAGGTCGAGAGCTTCAGCAGAGGAGGCGGTCAGCTTGCCTGCAGACGTGAACCGTCAGGTCAGCCATGAGCTGCTGGGGCCCTCGCGCCATCTGACGGGCTGATTAGCGACCACATGCCGTGGATGTCAAGTCCTATGCCCTGGCGTACGTGGCTAAGGAGGACGAGGAGCTCAACACGCTGGAGGAGCAGATGGACGAGCTGCTGCAGCTGCTGGAAGAGAAGAGATGTCATGACGGCAGAGGAGAGGAGGCAAACAAGGTACACGAGGGTGGGAAGGAATGAGGGACCATGCGTGAGTGTGAGACCGCAGGCGAAGAAAACTCGCAATAGCTTCTCGTCCAACCTTGAGGTGGTAAAGGAGATGGAGGCTCACGAACAGGAGGAGCAGGCGCCGCTGGCACTAGGGATGTACAATATATGATGCTACATGGCATGCCGGCTTAGGGCCCTTCACTTGAGAGCTCCCGCGTCACTGAGGAGCTGCTTGAGCTCTCCATTCTGATGCATCTCCATCATGATGTCGCAGCCTCCCACAAACTCGCCGTTGACAAACAGCTGAGGGATCGTTGGCCATGCACTGCAGGACAGAACGAATCAGCTGGAGAAAGAGAAAGAGGAAGCAAGTAGTGACAAAAGGAGGAACACAGTGGTGAGAAGAAGAGAGAGAGAGAAGAGGAGAGAGAAGAGGAGAGAGAGAGAGAGAGAGAGAGAGAGAGAGGCTTACGAGAACTGCTTCACTCCTTCCCTCACTTCCATGTCTTCCAGCACGTTGAATGCGCCATATTGAGTCCTGTGAAAGTCGAGGATCTGCACAGCCTTATTGCTGAAGCCGCACATGGGGAAGTCGGGCGTTCCCTGCCACGAAGTCAAAAGAGAGGAGAGGAAACAGTCTAAGAGTGAGGAGAGGATGAGAAACGAAGTACAAGGAGAAGTTGATAGCAAACGATTGAGGTGAAGGAGAGGAGGAGAAAGGAGGTGATCGATCCGAGGGAGACTCAAAGAAGAGGAGCATGGGGATGAGCCAAGTGAGGAGCAGCAATTGAGGAGCAGTTCTTCCTCCCTCGCTACTCCCTCACATAGAGAGATCAGGGAGAGAAGAGAGCGGTTCACCTTCATGAAGAGAACCACTTTGCGCGACGAGACCAGGTTCTTGATCTCTGCCTGCACGTTTCTGCCCTCACTGGCTGCCGGAGCCTTGGCTTTAGGCGCAAAGTCCGAGTCGCTTCCTTCGCTCCCCACGGTAGCGAATGACCGAGCAATCGCAACAGACTTGGGCCCGGCAGCTGCTGGCCCCCAGGCCCTCAGCGCGGGATGGCGACCAGAGCGAAGCGGTCGAGCCCTGACAGCAGCCAGGGAGATTGATCTGGAGCACAAAAATAAGAAAAGAAGGGAGGACGGAGAGGATGAACACATATGGGGAGTAAGGAGGAGTTGAGGGGAAGGAGGACAATGAGGCGGAGACGGTTATGGCGATATGAAGAATGGTTTCAAGGAGAGGGTTGGAGGAATGCGAGGGGCATTAGAGGAAGAGGATTGGATAGTGGAGTATGAGAGGAGGGAGAAAAATGAATTAGAGGGAGTGGAAACAACGAGAGGGGAGGAGGGGAGGAGGGAGAGCAGAGCAGAGCAGAGAAGAGAAGAGCAGAGCAGAGCAGAGAAGAGAATTGAAGAGAAGAGAAGAGAAAGGGGGAGAAGAGGAGAAGTGAACAGGGGAGGGGAGGGGAGAGAAACGGAGGGAGAGAGGAAGATAGAAAGAAGAGAACAGGGCGAGGAAAGGAGGGGGGAAGGAGGCAGCGGCGGGGGAGAGGAGGGAGATGAAGGAGGGGAGAGCAGCATTGTTACCTCCTCAAAGACAGCATGGTGCGACTTAGAAGATGAGGGGAGGGGTTCGATCGTTCTTGTTCGTGACAGGGGGTGGTTTTTGCCCCAGGGGGTCCAACATAGATTGCTGATGGCAGGGGTACTTGTAGCATGTTTACAGGGTCTATGGGGTAGTAGGGAATGTTTAGGGGTCGGTAGTCCCACCCCACCCATCCCTAATTCAGGTAAATCACACCCCTCCTGCTCGTCTCCTTCTTTGCGTCCTGCACCTCCTTTCCTTTTCTGCGCCTCCGGCCAACCCTCCTTCCGACCCCCCCCCCCCCTGCCCACCCCCGGGTCTCCTTCTCCTCGTCCTCCTCGTCCTCCTCGTCCTCCTCGTCCTCCTCGTCCTCCTCGTCCTTCACCACGTCCTCGTCCTTCACCACGTCCTTGTCCTCGTCCTCGTCCTCGTCCTCGTCCTCGTCCTCGTCCTCGTCCTCGTCCTCGTCCTCCACCACTTCCAACTCCACCTTCTCGTCCTCGTCCTCGTCCTCGTCCACCTCGTCCTCATCCTTGTCAAAATCCAGTGTGGAGATTTGACGATTCAGGTGGACAACCGCAGAACCAGTGAAACAACTGAGGCAGGGAAGAGGTAAGGAAGACAAGAAGCAGATATGTAAGGGCCTGTTAGTGAACCAGGTCTCTTCCACTTATTTGCTTGCTCTTTCCCTCTTGTTCATGTTTCTAACTGAGTAATCGGTTTCTAACTAAGTATTCGGTGAGCCGCTCGTTTCCAAACTGGAGTTTCTCAAGATTAATGACCTCCCTAGCTTTCGCTGTCATGTGAAGCACGTAAGATGCAGTTCCGTTTAATCAAGCGCGAAATCAATAACCTAGCAGCGTATCAAAGGCCTAGTTGCCCTCCTCCTCCTTCTTCTTGTTTGACTTCTTCTTCTTCTTGATGGACTGTTTGAGGACCTCGATGAGCTCCTCGTCCTCCACTTGCTTGTCAGACTTCGCGTTCAGCTCAGGCAAGTCGGAGCCAGTGATCTTGACGGGCCCGTTGGCCATGAGGAGGACGCAGAACTTGATCTGAGCCACGATCTCTCCGTCCTTCTCGTACAAAACTGGGTGTGGCTGAAGCAGCTCGTGCCTCACGCACTCGGTGATACCAAGTCTGGTGCGCGTGTCATCGATCTCACGGAGAGAGAAGGGCATCTTAGGATGAGATTTCTCGATCTTGAACAAGGCCTGTTAACCATAATGTCAAGCCACACATTCACAAGGAGAAGCCTGACGCACCTCACGGGCAGTCTTCATCTTGAGGTTGTACTTGGCATCAGGTGCACGCTTAAACACAGTGCACTTGGTGTCAAGCTCTCTGCACTTGCCCTCGCCGGTAGAAACAACGACGTCGACGGCATAGGCCTCATTCTGCTCGAAGGTGCACTCTTCGATGTTGTGACCAGGCACGTTCTTGTTGGTGATCACCTTGGTGCCGTCAGTGGTGAAGCGCTTAATCTGATGAGACACAACGCCGTCGACAGCATGGCAGCCGAAGGAAGCGACCGCCTTCTCCACCATGGAAGTGATGGCGTGGTTCTTGTTTCCTGGTTTCAACATGCGAATGATGACGTCTCCTGCAGTCTTGGCCGCCATGATGGCATCCGCAGCACGTCCGGTCACCTCAGTCTGTCCAACAACGATAGTGGTGGCGACGAGAGCGACGTAGCCATCGACATGAACGCCGAGATCGCTGTCAAAGTGTGAGAAGCTTGTCTAGAGGCGTCAAGGACTCACATCTTGGCAACGTCGCCTTCCTTGAGCTCGATGCTATCTTCCTTGAGAGGAGAGTAGTGGCCACAGCAGTTGTTCAAGGAGATGCAGGTGGGGAAGGCGATTCCCTTCTCGATCTTCTTCCCCTTGTACACCGAGGCGAGCTTCTCGTTGATGATGTTGTCACCAAGCTCGCAGAGCTCTGCGATGCTCTTGCCAGCCTTGCACTCGGCGGCAACAGCACGGATAGCCGCTGCAAGCATCATCAGATCTTCAGAGTGGCAAGATGCAAAGAATAGAGGTCAAGCATGGGGTGTGGGCAGAAATTTGAGAGTGACTGAGTAACTACCCACCATTTGCCGTGTTCCCAGCAAACTGGTACTTGTTCAGGACATCCGGGTGGCTGCAAGAAAGAGGTGATGAGATGGGCCAGAATTCACAAGGAGAGAGGAAAAGAGGCGTTCACACCTGCAGTCGAGCTCCTCTTCCTCCTCCTCCTTCTCGGTGTCGACCTTCTTGTCCTCTGCATCCAGAATATTAGGCCACATCAGTTCAAGGCATCGGTAGGAGCAAGGAGGGCGTGGGGATGGCGAGAACATGGAGAGTGCTGATAGAATACGACACAACATAAAGCGGTATTGCAGAAGATGAGAGTATGGCAGAACAGATCCCATCGTTCTGTAGTAGTCTAAGCGCTGTAACCTGTCCTGACCTGCTGTTCAAGGGCAACAGCTGTTACACCGGCTTCCCGTATCACTCAGATATCTCTAGCATGAATCCTTCTCTCACAACTTGCATCCAAGTCTCATGACATCACTGAAATCTTGATCTCAACCTCTACAAGACCTCCTCGTCTCTCCACCACCACTGCAACGTCATCAACAGATCATCACAGGGAAACTCTGCAACGTCGTCTCTCAAGCAAGGTTGAGATGAGTACAGGGGCTGATGGAGTAACTTTCAACTCTCTCAGCCTTCTCTCGTCCTCACTATCTCCTCCTTCACTTCCTCGTGCGTCGCCGTCACCAAACTTCCGTCCTTGTGACGCCTCACGAAACCCTGGAACCAGCAACGCAAGAGGCTGATGCGCATGGGATGGAGAAGAGCAATGCAGAGTCATGATGAGAGGAAGGATTTGAGCGGGAAGAGAGGGTTTGTGGCGCTGGTGAAGAGCGGGAGTGGGTAGCGGGAGGAGGAGGAGGCGACGAACCTTCCGACATAGCGGCTGAGAGCTTCTCGCACGCGAGCGCCGAAAAAAACGAGTCGTGGATCACCCCTCCTTTTCCCTTGAAAAATCCGATTCCTGTGGGTAGGGTGTAGTACCCACCCTCCATTGTGTCTCCACAAAAATGTACAATCAGGGTGGGGTTAAAAGTCTACCCCACCTACAAAAATCCCCGGAACTAGGATGGTGGGGTGTATAACCCACCCCCGATCTCCATCACATTCTTAAGTGCAACAGGGGGTGAGTGTAGCACCTCTATTCAGTACCACAGAAATTCAGAAGGGGTGGACCAAATCACCCGTCCTTTTCCCACAGATTCTGTGGGGATCTGGGGGTAGTACACCACCTCTCGAATGATCAGATGTTGTACCCTACCCATCTTTTACTCAGGGACTCTCTGTACCCCTCCATACTCCTATTGATAGGTCAATCGGTCCAACAGGGGTATTCACCCCCACCCTACAACACGAAATTTCAATTATTTTGTACACTGGCAAGTTTGTTGGGAAATTTTGATATTCCGTTCTAAAATTTCAAGGTTAGAATCTTAGAATATTTGCTCCCGAAATAGAACATTTTCTGAAATAATTTTCATTTAGCTATTTCTTTTTCTTTCAGCTAATTATGTTTCTCCCCGAAAATGCAGTGCGCAGTACGACCAGCTAGGAATGGAGGGAGAGAAGCAGGAAGATAACAAGAAGGATGCACTTGCTAAATGGAGAGCAAATTCTTCATTGACAAACCTTTGAATATTCGATTCTGATCAGATGAAGAGCAAAGCTGACATTCGCTTCCGCCCCTGCACGCAATCACAATCAGAGGTGTACACCGGCGATATTGAAAACCTCAATGACGTCAGGATGAGCATGACCCAGCGTGTCGAAGAACCTTGCAAACAAAATCACAGAGCAACATGTGAAATTCAGGGACTCACTTGAAAAGAAGCTTTCTGCCATTACCTTCCGATTTGTTTTTGTCCTTCTTGAAAATCTTATCGCAAAAGGTCAGTGGAGCTTCAGAACAAATTTAACATCAAGACAACATGTAGAGCATGCTCGATTGCCTCAGCATAGTCCTAGATGATAAAAAAAATATCAGCAATCCTCGCGGCAAACAATTCTTCCCGACCTGATGACTGAACAGCAGGACTAGTGGTATGTCAGTAACTATCTTAGTCATCGATGTAGACTGACCTGCAAGCTTCTCTCTTGCTTCCATGTCATCAGGCTGTAATATCAGGTCAACTTGGTTACTCATGATTCTCCAGGTTCATTCACATTGTTGGCTACAAGCGCCTGGAACTCTTCAACTGACCCTCCCATCTTGCGCGCCTTTTGTCGCACGTCAGTCATCATCAAGGAACCTCCGAGTCCCTCCGTACCTCGATTGACATGTTGACTCCTGTGACTGCCTGCTTCACCATCCGGTTCTCTAGCCTGCGGCAACTTTGAGGGCCCGGAAGGGAGTACGACGGTCGAACCAAGCCGAGTACTTGTCGTTGAGTTGTTCAACCAGCGAGGCCGCACCGCCTGATGCTTCTTCACTGGCACGCGTGCAGCACACACACACCCTTACTCGGGTCCTCCAGAGCCAACGCGCACATCGCCAACCCTGCGAGTCAGTCACGGGGACAAGCTGGACACGTACCACACTCGCCTGCAACGCACATAGCTCCATTCTCACTTCCTTCCTCCTCCTGCAGCCACTCAGCCTTCCCAAAGGATACGGAAGATACACAGACCTGCTGCAAAACATCCTTATACACTTCTAAGGCACCCACAAATTCGCCCTTGCTATACATCTTTGATTCGGTCCTTGTGTCAGACGAGATCTAGCTCGCAAACGAACCATCAGGACCTCATTTCCCATCTTGATCCTTTCCAAAACTGAAACTTTTGTTTGGGCGCCTGAAAATATCTTTCACTTTCATTCGTTTTTCCAAAGGCATTGCTAACCAGCAAGTTTTGATAGCAGCTCGTTTACTTTTTCTGGACTCATATCGCCAGTGATCTGATTTGACGTGTTGGATTGAAAAATCTTTGAAAAGCGATTTCAGATACCTTGTCTGAAACTCGTTGGTTGCTGAAAACAAGAACTGTTGGAACAACTTCCAGCTGCATCGGAAAGCTTAGAGGATTTGCTGCCCATCATTTGCAAGTACTCTGAAAGCATCGATGAGCTCCCGGTTGGCTTCAACGTCGACGCGAGCCAGCTTGAGGGAAGGATATGACTTTATAGCTGACTCAAGCCTTGAGACAACGGCCTGTGTGAAAAATACGAATGACGACTCATTCTGAGCATCGCAGGAAACTCACAGTCGAGATCTGATCTCCTGGCATATAACAAGCGATCACGAACGTGACCTTCTCTGCAAATACCTAGGGTTTGCGAATCAACTTCCGACCTTCCATCTCCAACCTCTGGTACCGTTTGGAAATTCTGCACTGTGACATCAACAACATTGCTTGGAGAGCTCTCAGTAGACATAGATCGCTTCATGACTGTCATCGAGGCAGCACGTGACATGCCGCAGGAGATCTTCATTCTGTGAGCTTCAGAGGCTGCGACTGCTTGCGCTGACTGCAATCGGCATCCAGCTGCCCTTAAGGCAATTGCTGCCATATTCGGCGCGTGCCGTTGGTTGAGAGTTGCCCTGCATACCGCAGCAAGTTGCCTCGTCCTCTGCATTTCTTCCAGCAAGAACACCCTCGTACCTGAGACAAGAACGCATCAACACCATTGTAGTAGAACATCCCGCCATACAAGTTCTTTCCCTTTTTCTTCCTGTGCCCCTTCTTTCTCTTCCTCACCGTCCTAAATTCTTTCACTCCCTCCCTCCCTCCCTCCACAAATCCATCGCTGAATCCCATCGATACGTCCATATGTAATGAGTCCTTCATCCTGCAAAAAAGTCTCCTTCATCCACTCACTAAAAGCCAAACCATCTGCCTCCTGCCTCCTGCCTCCTGCCTCCTGCCTCCTGCCTCCTGCCTCCTGCCTCCTGCCTCCTGCCTCCTGCCTCCTGCCTCCTGCCTCCTGCCTCCTGCCTCCTGCCTCCTGCCTCCTGCCTCCTGCCTCCTGCCTCCTCCCTCCCCCTCTTGTTCTTTCATTTTTCTTTGTGTCCCTCTTCTGCCTCATGTTCTTTTCGATCCTTCTGATGGAACATTATTATTTGAAATTACACCTGATATTTTGAAATGTGAACAGAGCCTTCCTCAGTAAATTTTCTAATACTTTTCTGAGGAATGTGAATATTTAAAAAATTTGTAAAGTTTGCGATGCACCGAAGGGAAAGCGGAGGAGGAAGAGAGGGATGGCGAGGGCGAGGGCGAGACAAGACAAGACAAGGATGGGGGAGGGTCGAGAGGACTGAGGGAGAGATGAAGGCAGGGAGAAGACGGGCGGTCAGGGTTAGGGTGGTTGATCGAGGGATAGAGGTTGTTGAATAGAGTGACAGAATCAGCATTGGAGCGAGCGAGCGAGCGAGAGAGAGAGAGAGGGAGACGCAGTTCAAGCACACACCAACGTGAGAGACGGTTCAAAACCAAGATGAACCTGAGGGAAGAAGCAAAATGCAGAGCAGGAAGCAAGAGGCTTAACGACGTTGTTGCTGTGCAAATGAGAAACAACAGCATTCAAATGATGGTTTTGGATTCTTCTGGCAATTCTTTCCCATATATCGATCATGACTACCGTCAAACGCCTGCTTCTTCTGCTTCTTCTGTGTCTTTGACGGAAAGCCAACAGGATGGAAGATGGATCTCCGAGTGCTGGCAGCAAGAGGAAAGCGGTGCACCTGATCCTTGTTTGTTTTCAACTCACGTAAATCAGGAGGAGCTGGGACAAAATGAATTTCCGTCGCCCGAGCTGGTACTGGAGAGCTCCCTTGGCCCTGCTCCCTCCCCCTTTCATCACCTTCTACACTCACTAGCTGGTGTCTCAGAAGAATGCATGGATCTCGTGCCCTCGTCTCGGCCAGCCCATCGCGCGAGGTGACATGTTCGAATGCTTGTGCTCGACCTCAAAGTCTCCAGCGCCCTTCCTTCCTTGCAAACCTCCGCTCAAGGGAGCAGCAACGGAGCTGTTGGACGAGGGGGACCGGCGAGTGATGGTCGTGCTCTTTTCCAGCTGACAACCATCTCCCTCAGATTCGATGGCGGCATGTTCATGCAGCGACAGATTGAAGCCAGCCGAGACGTTGGCATGGTGCCGCTACTTATCCCTCCCTTTCCTCCCTCCCTCCCTTTCCTCCCTTTCCTCCCTCCCTTTCCTCCCTCCCTCCATTCTGTCGCTTGCCGTGTGCTGTTCTCAGCTTCACTTTTCTTTTCTCACATCTCACGCTTCACCTTTAATCTTACAAGCTCCCAGGTCATCTCGCTACTTGACCCTCAGCGCGGAATTCCCATCCCACAAGCGCAGGTGCTGATTTGCAGAAGGAGGAGGAGGAGGAGGAGGAAGATCATGAGACGAGCAGGAATGGGATGACTGGGACGTCGAGTATGTCGAGATCACTCCGTGAGCTCTTCTACTTGATGACCAGGTTGAGGCTGATGAGTTCGTTCGCTTCGCCTCGTTTCCCGCAGCAAGAGTGCGCAGCAAGTTGCAGCTGATGTTCAGGTCTCCTGGTGTGAGATTTGTTCGGGGTAACGAGAGATGACAGAAGTCAGTCTCAGCTTTCTTGAAGAAAAGATCCAACAGCATGGTCGCCATCTTCTGGTGATTCGCTGCTCTCCCTCGTCCTCATCACGTTCCTCTATACCTCCCCTGCAAGGGGTTCTCTCTTTTCCTTCCCGTCCTCGGACCTTGTCAATGCTCACATGCGACGTGATAGCGAGGATGGCTGCAACCTTACGGGGTATGCCATCTGCGCCTACTTACATCAGGTGAACTCGTGCTTCCCTCCTCCCTCAGCCCAACTCCTTGCCTCCCCTCCTCCTCCCTCAGCCCAACTCCTTGCCTCCCCTCCTCCTCCCTCAGCCCAATCTCTTGCCTCTCCTCCTCATCTCTCGTCGTTCAGGTCCTCGGGATGTCGGTAAAGGATGCACTCGCTGAGTTCGCCAAGTCGCGTCCTCCTGGCATATTCCACCACCCGTGAGCTGCTGCTTCTCCTCTGCTGCTGCTTCATCCCTCCCCCCCTGTCTTCTCCCTCCCTCACATTTCTTCGCTACTCTCATCCACCCTCGTCCTTGCCTCAGTCTTGTCTCTTCCATCAGGTACATCCAGGACTTGTGGGATCGCTTTGCCAAGAAGGAGGATGGAGCATGTCCTCAGGTGAAGGAGAAGCCGTCCTGGGCATCAGATACGGTGAAGCTTCGAACGTTCCTCGATTCCGTCCCCGTCCCTTCCTCTTGCGTCATCCTCTTTCTCCATCCTCCTCTTTCTTCTCTTCATCTTCGTGCAAGGACTTCTGATCTCTCTGCCCCTGCTCCAGCAAGCTCCTGTGCTCCTCTTTCCTTTTGTCTTCCGTTGAGCGCTCGCAGATCTTTGTGGCTGCACACGGGGAGTTTGCTCTTCCTGTTATCAAGCCCATCGCGTCAGACTCCAAGACAGGAGAGGAGCCTCTTCCTGCAGGCTGGTCCAAGCACTGGAGCAAGACTCACAACAAACCGTAAAACTTCCCTCCCTCCCTCCCTCCCTTCCCTTCCCTCCCTCCCTCCCTTCCCTCCCTCCCTCCCCTCCCTCTCATCGCCTTCACGAGCAGCTACTACTTCAATCGCTCCACCGGCAAGCAGAGCTGGGAGCTTCCCAGCAACGGAGACGTCAAGCCACCAGGCAAGATAGGAGTCGCACACATCCTTATCAAGCACAAAGGCTCTCGGCGCACCTGTGAGTCCTGCCCTTTCCTAATTGATACTCCTCCTCCTACTCCTACTCCTACTCCTACTCTACTCTACTCTACTCCTACTCCTACTCTACACTTACTCCTACTCCACTCCTACTCCTACTCCTCATCATTCCATCCTCAGATCTCTTCTTCCCCCCTCCTCTTCTCTCCATCTTTCACCCTCCTCTTCCTTCAGCTAAGTTTGTGCAGCATCATGGAAGGACAAGGATGGCAGCACGATAAAGCAGCGCTCGATTGAAGACGCGAAGCTCATTCTGCAAGGCATCCGCGACCTGCTGATGCAGCAGACTGCCTCGAACCTCCGCAAGAAGTTTCACGAGATCGCCAAGTAAGCGGGATGAGGCGACGAGAGGAGAGGAGGAGAGCGGTTGGAGGAGGCGACGAGAGGAGAGGAGGAGAGCGGGTGGAGGAGGCGACGAGAGGAGAGGAGGAGAGCGGGTGGAGGAGGCGTCAAGTGAGGAGGGAACTCACACGAGGAGGTAGGAAGGAGTCGGACTGCTCTTCTGCTGCCAAGCATGGAGATCTCGGTCTGGTGGCCAAGGGATCCCTTCAGCCTGCCTTTGAAGCTGCTTACAGCACCCTCCAGGTCCCCCTCCCCCTCCATGTTTCTTTTCTTCTCGTTCTGACTTGCCTCACCCTCTGCTCGTCCCTTCCCCTCACCCTCTGCTCGTCCCTTCCCCTCACCCTCTGGTCAGGTCGGTCAGCTCTCCGACATCGTCGAGACTGACTCAGGAGTTCATCTCATCTTGCGCACTTCGTGACTAGCTTCATGACTTGATGTACATGCCCAATATTACACTCCTAACCGTTAACCTCCTCCTTGTTCACAACCACTACCTCTCACTTCTTCATCCTCCCACCGAGGCTTTCAGTCGTTGGTGTCCATGTCGGACGTTCTTCTTCCTCCGCCTTCCTCCATCAGTTGCTTGAGCTCCTCTCCCGAGAACATTCTCACCAGATGCATCGGCACGAACTCCGTCAGCCCATCGAGCACGTCCCCGGTCTCTGCTATCCCCCACTCCTCCTCCTTCGCCTCGTGCTTTCTCTCCGCTTGTCCACCTTGATCAACCCCAGGCCCCTCTGGCCTGTCCTGCTGCTCCTCCGATTCTGCGCTTCTCTCACAGGCGAGTCTCGTGAAATTGCTCCAGAAGGAGGTCGGGAGGAGACGCCAAAGCAACCTGCCGTCGTACTCCGACCAGAGCTGGCGAGCGAGTGAGGGGGAGCGAGTGAAGGAGAGCGAGTGAAGGAGAGCGAGTGAAGGAGGAGTCAGACTCAGACAAGAGAAAGAACAAGAGGACAGGTGCACACAGGAGCACACAGGGGGAACGAATGCAACAGTCAAGGCAAGAGCATGCCCACAAATTCTTCTCACCATCGCCATGGCGAGCAGCCTGCCGAGAAACCTCCTCCTGCTCCATGTCGAAGTCTTGCCAGCAGCCGAAGCAAGAGAAATTATTTGTTTGCGCATCTCCAGACAAACAAGTTCTGAGAGGGAGGGAGGGGAGGAGACAAGAGAAGTTTGATGTCAGGTGAGAAACGCTGAAATTCTCGACTCACCGAACCACAGGGATGTAGGAGAAGTTTCAACATGCTGCTACATCAGTCAGGATAGTATCACTCCTCTCCCCTCCCCTCCCCTTCCCTCCCCTCCTCTTCCTGACCCATTCCTCTACGGTTCCTCCTGCTCTTCTTCGTCCTCAATTCCCCCCCCCCTTTCCTGCCTCGCTCGTCTGCTCTCTCTGGGTTCCTTCTTGACTCCCCCAATTACTTCAGTCTGCTCGCGTTGCTTGTCAGGAGGCTCCTCGAGGGTTACGGTCAATCCCCCGCTCCTCATGATCGCTGCTGCTTGCAACCCTCCCACCCGCTCCTCCGACTCCCTCAGCAAGTCATCTTCCACCCAAGGGATAGAAACCTGCGTCAAAGCCATCAGAAGGTCTCCTCCTGCTCCTCCTCCCTCCTGCTCCTCCTCCCTCCTGCTCCTCCTCCCTCCTGCTCCTCCTCCCTCCTGCTCCTTTGCTCTCTTAGCTCATCTCTTGTTCTGACTCTCAGCTATCGCTTGCTCCTCCCTGCTTTCTTCTCCCTCCCTCCCTCCCTCCCTCACCAGCAGGCGTCGGTCAGCAGGACCAGCAGGGACTTGAGCAAAGGAGCCCTCGACCAGCACGCGAGCGCGAGAGACCAGGGAGGAGGCTGAGAGCATGCGACGAGCGGGGGCACGACGCGAGAGACTGAGAAGGAGAGAGAAGTGGAGGAGAGGAGAAACCCAAGAAAGCAGAGTTACAAGAGAGGCTAGAGGAAGAGCGAAAAGTCGAGAATAAACGCAAAGCGAGAGACAGAAATGCGGAAGGAGATAAAGAGGTGGGAGGCAACCATGCAGAGGAAAGTGGATGGAGGCAGGAGGTACTGCAAGAAAGGAAAGGAGGAGAACATCAACCTGGCAAGAGGGCGATAAGAAGCCGCAGCGTGAGCCGCCGAAAGGTCGAGAAGGCGCCTGAAGAGAATCAAGAAGACGACAGATAAAAGTAGACAAGACAAACGAAATCACAACAAGACAAACGAAATCACAACAAAACAAACGAAATCACAACAAGACAAACGAAATCACAACAAAACAAACGAAATCACAACAAAACAAACGAAATCACAACAGCGCCTTGACAAGGAGCTGAACCCTTACGACTTGTCCAAGAGCATTACCGTGTCACTTCTGTCAACTCCTCTTCGCACAGCCTTGTCACTTCTTCCTCGCTGTCAAGAACTACTCCAAGCAGATAGGCAGCGTCAAGCATGGAGGAGGTTGAGGAGGAGGTGAGAAACAAGTCGACAGCTGCTCTTGCAACCGAAGCCTGCGAGTTCACCAGCAGATCCCTGCTGCTTCTGACATCCTCCAGCACCCTTCCTAGCACCACAGCCGCGTCTCCTCTCGAGATTGACAAGCGTTGTCTCAGCTCCTCGCCAGCAGCGTCGTCGTCTGCTCGCGTCTCCTCGACTTGTCCTTCCGACTGCTTCATCCTCAAGAGAAGCCAATGCAGGATCCTCGTCAGGTGCCTGACCAGCAGAATCAACAAAAAGCTTCTTCTCCCCCTCCCCCTCTCCCTCTCCCTCTCCCCTCCCCCCTCTCTCCGTCTCCGTCTCCGTCTCCTCCCCTTCCTTTCACTTCACTCCTTCACGTGCTTCACCTACCGTCTGGCAGCATCGAGCACGAGGAGGCTTTGCAAGGCGACAGCAGCATCCTGTAGGGAAACCAGTGAGAATGGCAAAGGAGGGAGAGGGGCTGGCGGGCCTGGTTTTCGTCATCGGAGGAAGCAAGCATGACAACAAGCCGGATCAGAATGCTCCCCAGCGAGAGTGAAGCTGCCAATCGCTGCATCCCTCCAGCAGAGCTGACGATACCCACCTGCTCCTCTGATCAGCCTCTCCTTCCCTCTTTCTTCCCTCTTCCCCTCTCACTCTTTCAACCTCCTCGTCTGGCTCACCATGGCTCCTGCTGCCTCGTCCGATCCTTCGGCTCCACTTCCATCACTTCTCGCTCCTCCCGTCCTCCCATTTCCATCACCGACCAGCTGCTCCCTCACTTGCTCCAGCAGCCCATCGAACAGCTCTTTCCCCTTGGCCGCCTCCTCACTCACTTCCGGATGCGACAGCAGGACCACGATAGCGTACTGAGCTCGCGTCCTTGCTCTCTTTCCTTCCGCAATCCTTACCAGCTCTATCAGAATCTCTTCCATCCTCCCGGTGAGTAGCAGCGCCATCGCTGCGCTTCTCTTCATGCTGATTCTCGCCACAGTCTCCGCTGCCTTTGCCGCAACAGCCTCCTGGAAGGAGGACGAGGACGAGGCACCGGGCGGTTGGAAGGCCGCGAGGGCAGCAAGGAGCGCGACGGTTATCCTTGAGCTGTCGGGATGATCGGAGAAGCACGAGTTCCTTCCCAGGCCATCCAACACTCGCAGGGCAAGGAGCTGCTGCTGCTGCTGCAACTCCACCGTCGCTTCCTCATCCTCCTCTAAGATTTCGTGCAAGAGTATGCCAGCAGGGATGTTGTCCACTATCCTCCCCCTGCTTTGCACATCTTCGAGCATGCTGCCCAGCGCCTGCATGGAGACCTTCTTCACCTACACTAGGCGGTCAACTCCTCCCCTCCCTTTATCATGCTGCCTCCCCACTTCTCATGTTCCCCCACACCCTTGGCTTTCCCCCTCATCCTCCACCACCGCCATGGCAGCAACTTGCCTCCTCCTCTTCGCTCCTCGTCACGATGGCACACAAGCTATAGGCGACCGCAAGCATCTCGTCATGACCCATCACCTCTCGCTGACTCCTGGCGTCACCTGCAAGCTTCTTAAGCCCCTCCAACTCCCACTCCCCTCGCCCCGGCTCTCCCTACACCTTGGTCTCTCTTTCTCCTGGTCTCTTTTATTCCTCCTCTTCCCTCTTCCCATCTTCTCACAATTTCTCCTTCTCCTCTTCGCTCATATGCTCCCCTACTCTCTCTTGCTCGTGGTCTCGCCCTCTCCTATGCTCTTTCTTCCCCTCTCCCCTGCTCGTCCTCAAGCTCGCCGATACCAAGCAGGACAGCGAGGAGCGTCACGGCGTCCGCTGTCGCCTCCATGTCTTGACCGGCAAAGGCCTCCGACAATCGCCAGAGCGACAGCCGCGAGGCGATGCCTGCCAACCGTTAGGGATAAAAGCGAGCTAGAGGTGAGCTAGAGGAGAGGTAGAGGAGAGGTAGAGGAGAGGTAGAGGAGAGGTAGAGGTGAGGTAGAGGTGAGGTAGAGGTGAGGTAGAGGTGAGGTAGAGGTGAGGTAGAGGTGAGGTAGAGGTGAGGTAGAGGTGAGTGAGGTAGAGGTGAGGTAGAGGTGAGGTAGAGGTGAGGTAGAGGTGAGGTAGAGGTGAGGTAGAGGTGAGGTAGAGGAGAGGTAGAGGTGAGGTAGAGGAGAGGTAGCGGTGAGGTAGAGGTGAGGTAGAGGTGAGGTAGAGGTGAGGTAGAGGTGAGGTAGAGGTGAGGTAGAGGTGAGGTAGAGGAGAGGTAGAGGTGAGGTAGAGGTGAGGTAGAGGTGAGGTAGAGGAGAGGTAGAGGTGAGGTAGAGGTGAGGTAGAGGTGAGGTAGAGGAGAGGTAGAGGTGAGGTAGAGGTAGAGGTAGAGGTAGAGGTAGAGGTAGAGGTAGAGGTGAGGTAGAGGTAGAGGTAGAGGTAGAGGTAGAGGTGAGGTAGAGGTGAGGTAGAGGTGAGGTAGAGGTGAGGTAGAGGTGAGGTAGAGGTGAGGTAGAGGTGAGGTAGAGGTGAGGTAGAGGTGAGGTAGAGCCGAGGTAGAGGTGAGGTAGAGCCGCGGTAGAGCTGAGGTAGAGGTGAGGTAGAGGAGAGGTAGAGGTGAGGTAGAGGTGAGGTAGAGGTGAGGTAGAGGTGAGGTAGAGGTGAGGTAGAGGTGAGGTAGAGGTGAGGTAGAGGTGAGGTAGAGGTGAGGTAGAGGAGAGGTAGAGGTGAGGTAGAGGTGAGGTAGAGGTGAGGTAGAGGAGAGGTAGAGGAGAGGTAGAGGAGAGGTAGAGGTGAGGTAGAGGAGAGGTAGAGGAGAGGTAGAGGTGAGGTAGAGGTGAGGTAGAGGTGAGGTAGAGGGGAGGTAGAGGTGAGGTAGAGGTGAGGTAGAGGAGAAGCCCAAAGAGAAGGGAAAGGGAACAAACGACCCAACCGAAGAAAAGCAGGTCAAACGCATGGGGCATCTCCTCACCCGATATCATCGTCGTCACGCCTTCACATCCGCATACAATTCTTGCATTCTCGGAATCTCCAGCAAGGTTCACCAGCGCTGTCATCCCCTCTGCACTCCCTTGGTCGTGTGCACTATCAACCTGTTACCACGTTAGACCTTCCGAAAGGTTGGTTGATCCGTCTACGCTTTCCTACATCCCTGATCTTCTCCTCCTTCGCTATATCCAACTCAGGCATCCTTGCAATCCTAACCATGTCCACTTCTCTCTCAAGTCTCGCTCTCCTCGCTTGTCTCCTCCCTGGCTACGCACCATCTCAGCAAGAGTCGAGAGGATGCGCGAGCGCTGGTCCGAGATGAGGATACGCCGCCTTCCCTCTTCACGTCTCGCAATGTTTCCAACAGCCGTCGCCGCGCTCACGGCGGCATGTGACGGAAACTTGGAGAGGAGGAGGGAGAGGGAGGGGAGAAGGCAATACTGGCAGCGAGAAGCTTTCTGGACGTGAGGGTCCTGCTCCTCGAGCTGCAGGAACAGTTGGAAGATCTTTCTGCTGCAGAGAAGATTCGAGAGCGCAAGCACGGCAGACGAAGAGACGTCAGTGACCTCCCATCCCTCCAGCTCATCTGAGAGCAGGAACGTCCTGTAGGATGTCAGTATCAAGTTCCAACGTCGAGGGTGTTACGGGAAACAAGCAGAGGAGACAAGGAGAGGAGACAAGGAGAGGAGACAAGGAGAGAAGACAAGGAGAGGAGACAAGGAGAGAAGACAAGGAGAGAAGACAAGGAGAGGAGACAAGGAGAGAAGACAAGGAGAGAAGACAAGGAGAGAAGACAAGGAGAGGAGACAAGGAGAGAAGACAAGGAGAGGAGACAAGGAGAGAAGACAAGGAGAGAAGACAAGGAGAGGAGACAAGGAGAGGAGACAAGGAGAGGAGACAAGGAGAGGAGACAAGGAGAGGCGACAAGGAGAGGAGACAAGAAGAGAAGACAAGGAGAGGAGACAAGGAGAGGAGACAAGGAGAGAAGACAAGGAGAGGAGACAAGGAGAGGAGACAAGGAGAGAAGACAAGGAGAGGAGACAAGGAGAGAAGACAAGGAGAGGAGACAAGGAGAGGAGACGAGGAGAGGAGACAAGGAGAGAAGACAAGGAGAGAAGACAAGGAGAGGAGACAAGGAGAGGAGACGAGGAGATGAGACAAGGGGAGAAGGGGAGAGGAAGGCAGAAAAGACATGTCACTTGTACAGCAAGCGCATGCGACGGGGACGAGGGTCTCACAAGTCCAGGAGAAGTTGACGAGGGTCTTGTAAGTTTGCAATCATCCAGGCCCTTCCTTGTCGAGTCATCGAGGTGTTGCAAAGCGCATCGAGAGCGAATTGACAGCAATTTCTTCTCATGTTTCTCGTCCAACCATCCCCCTCTCCTTCTTCCGCCCCGTTCTTCCCTTGGGATATCTGATTATTCTGCCTGCTTGCCTCACCCTGCTTGCTCTCCTCTTCCTCCGAAGCCTTGGTGCGATGTCTCATCATCTCATCATCTGCCATGACGCGAACGGCGCGACAGAGGGTGAGTAGCAGCTGCTGGCTGTGAGGATGTTGCAGCATACACTCAATTCCCTCCATTTCACTGGTCAGCTCCTCTATTGCCATCACAGTCTCCAGTATCTCAGAGATCTCCAAATCTTCTGCTCTTCGAAAATTTGTTCCAACACTCTGAATCTGCTCAACCTGCTTCTCCTTGTCATCATCGCTGTCATCGTCGGCAGCAGCAGCATCTGCCTCGCTTTCCTCTTCAAGATGGTCTTCATCCTCCTCTACATGGAAATACGGAGACGCTTTGCATCCGGTCTCAAACGTTGTCGGAGGATAGAAGGCTTCCTCTGCCCCCGCAATCTCCTCATTCACTTTGTCAAACCTTGTCGAGCTGAGCGCAACCTCCGATACTACATCAGCTTGCCAGCTCGACACTCCGGCAGTCTCATCAGCTAATGCGGAAAGGTTGGCTGCAAGATGAGAAGAGTCGAAGGATATTGAGCTGCACAACTCCTCCTCATTTTCATGCTTGTCCAGCACATGGCAGAAGAGGTCGCTCCCCTCATATTGGAAGTTGTTTAGGTCAGCGATGTCTCCCAGAGATAGAGCCCCCTGATCGTCCTCCCTGTCCCTGTCCCTGTCCCTCTCCGTCTCCTCCTCCTCCTCCTCCTCCTCCTCCTCCTCCTCCTCCTCCTCCTCCTCCTCTTTGCACCTCATCACCTCATACTTTTACATGAAGGCTATACTTGGACTCCCTTCAACTTTGCCCTGTCCCTCCATTGATGGATCGTACCTGCCTCCCTCCTGGTCTTCTGCAACTTCTGTCTTGTTTTCCTCTATGTCTCTCCTCCTCCCCCTCCTCTCTCTCTCCCCCTCCTCTCTCTCTCTCTCCTCCTATCTCTCTCCTAGTTTCTTGCTCAAATCACATCATGCTGCACAAAGTGGACCCGCCTCAATGTACTCACTGTGCGTCAGGCGGGCTGTGTCAGCCGCTAGCAGCTTAATATCACTTGACTTATTTGACCGTATTACGTTGCATGATTTTGGTCACATGACATCTCTCACGTTCTACTTATTTGACCACATGACATCTCTCACGTTCTACTTATTTGACCACATGACACTTTTCCTTCGTGACTTTTTTGACGTATTACACTTTTCCTTCGTGAACAAACCATGAACAACTGCCCTGATAACTCTCTCACTTTCCCTTATCATTCTCGTCAGCCTTTCACATGATTTCAGCAAGGGGGCGGGAAGGCATGGCGCAGCCTTGCCGCGGGAGCTTGCTCCCCCCTTGGTGACCAATGGCCGTTCTCCCTGTTCTTCCGTTCTGCCGTTATGCGGAGCACCCTACCGATGACCTGAACCGAATAAAAAGAAAAACAATCATCATTGATGAAACTCTGCCGTTCTGCACTGTGTCATTGTCCACCCGTGGCAGGTGTGGAGGGTGGAGGGTTTGATTTTGCTCCTCCTAAATTTTTTTGATTTTCCCCAATTCAACTTTCAACCCTCCACACCCTCCAAACCTTCCACACCCTCCACACACCCCCTTTCTCTATTACCATTTCACTCTTATAATATATGTGGAAGGTTTGTGGATAGTTCTCTTTATTGTGGAGGGTTCAGTATGCTTATGCATGCCAACTATTAATCTTTCTAATAGTCTAAGCTCCATCCGAGTTTTCAATCGCTGTGTGCCACATGTCACCTTATACATCAACCACTGAATCCTTACCTGCTCTCATCATACCTCAGCCTCTGTCCTCCTTTCGAGGCAGAGCGCAACTGGCGAGAAGAAGTAGAGCCCGGCGTTGTAATCTGGCCTGTATCGACGCGGTTCTTAATCTCAACAAGAGCTCTTTCGAGGTCTAGAGAGCTGAGCGTGATGCCTTTGCTCTCCATCTCCTTCAAAGCAGAGCGACAGAGATGATGAAAGATGATGCCATTGGCTGTCACATAAGTAACAATCAAAGGGATGATGTCCTCGTCTTTGTAAATGATGGTTGACATGGTCGTCGGGATATAATTCTGATAATCATTCTTAGCAAGGAAGAGCATCAACTTGAGAAAGAAAGCTCTATGCTTTCTTGAATTCTCTCTTACAAACCAGTTCCTCAGCCATGTTGGATGAATTTGCTGGCTGAAGTTCTTGACATTCTGGTCAGAAACTTTTTTGTTTACCTCTTCAACAAAGCTGAGATTATTTTCAGGAGTAAAAACCTCAGTGAAGTTGTAGTCAATCATTAACATCTCTTCTGGCTCATCATAGGCTGCTACAGGCCCAATGTTTGTTTTCCTCCTGCGTGACCCAGCAGCCATTTGCTCTTCACTTGGAAGCTCGATAGCCTCCAGTTCACCCACGATTTCATCGACTTTGACTATGCTCATATCCAGCACTTGAATGAGGATGCTCTTGAACTGAAGGGTGCTTTGTTTCTGAGCAAGCAGCTTCTGAATGACATGTCGCAGAGCAACAGAAGGCGGCGTTGAGTTGATGATGCTAACCTGATTCATGCTGTGAGTAAGAGCTGTGAGAGTTGATGATGCTAACCTGATTCATGCTGTGAGTAAGAGCCGTGATGTCGTCAATATCATCACTGGCCGAAGGAGGGGCAGCCTGTGAAACTCTTGAACCAAAAGCAAACACTGCCTGCGAAGAAGATTGCGGTCCTGTATTGCCGAATCCTATAATGCCAGACAAGGCAGGGTTTGGGGTCCCTGTTGATGCTGCACCGGTATTACCGAAACCAGACGGCGCGGCCATGGGCAAAGGGGTCTGTGCTGCTGCCGCGCTCGTGCGAGGGGAATGACTATTTTTTTCTGGGACGGGGTCATGCGGACATGCTGACGGGGTCATGCGGACATGCTGACGGGGTCATGCGGACATGCTGACGGGGTCATGCGGACATGCTGACGGGGTCATGCGGACATGCTGGCTTACGAGTTGAATAAAAACAATTGTTTGAACTCTCCGCTATCGGATGGTCGGCCTGTGAGAAAAGGGCCCTCGGACCCGCGGATGTATGCGTGGGTTCGAGTCCTACTGGAGACAGTCCGGTTAGGGAGGGCACCCCTGACCGGCTGTCGAAGGGGGGGCTGGGTCCGGGCCTGAAGAGGCTAGCGAGTGCCCCGCTAGTCTTGGACGGAACGGACATCAGTGGCCTTATCCGATTCGTCGTCTGACGAACTTGTCTCTTCTCCACCAAGCCCCAAGCATCGCCGCGCCGTCTCTACTTGCAATAAACGTCAAAATTTTCCCTTCCAGAGACGGCGATTAAAGGGAGGATTTTTATTTTATCAAAAAAGTCAAAAAAGTGATATAAAGAGAAAATAAGGTTAATAAGTTAAAAAATATCTCCTAAATAATAAATGGCAAGAGAAAGAAAACAAACTCAACAATACAAGCCTGAGAATTTTAACAAGGTTCAGCCGAAACCAAAAAAACCGCCAACAAAAACAAATGAGCTGCCCACTGATGAGCCGATGCCAGCAATTGATATAATTGAACCACGCCTACCTGTGCCACAAGATAATAATATTAAGGTTTCATCATCATATTCTAAAAAATACAGGTCACCAAAGGACTATAAAAAATTAAAGACTTTCAATGATGAAATCACACAAGAATATACTAATGCTTTAAAAACAGTCAAATTCAATCGTTATGATGATAAGAAATATGAATTTACCATATTTGAAAAAGCAGAGCGTCTTGAGATGTCTATCAATTCAGAGATTAATGATAAAAACACAATAACGAGCAAAGTATATGCTCTAGATTATACTCCTAAACAATATGATGAATTAAAATATATTGTTAAACCATCTCTAGCTGATGTGAGAAATAATAGATTTGTTGGTGAGAAGAAAGACGATAAGAAGCTTGTTTCTAGTTTAAATGTTATTCTAAAAGAAGCCAAAGATTTAGAACTTGACCCTATTGATTTAACAAGTGTTCTTAGACATCACCGCCATATCATGTTAATCATGCTTAGATATATTGAAAGCAAAAAAGGTTCTCCCTATACATATTGGGATTACATAAGAGCATTAGCAAGGCTTGCTAAAATATCTCTTGGAGATGATGATGAACTTTATAAGAAATTAAGCAAAATATCTGATGATTTTGATAAGGCAGTTAATAAGCTCAATGTTGATGAAAAGAGAGTATTTGTTCCCTATTCTGTACTATTGGATATGGTCGGTGAAATGAAAAAGCAATTTGAGGATGCTTTAGCTAAATATGGCTCTAACAAAGAAGCCACTTATAAATTACATATGAATACATTGATATTAATGAGCTATTTATATACTCCACCTGTTAGGTCAGAGTTATCTAATGTGGTATTTACAAATACATTAGAGGGACTTGATAAAAAAACCAATTATGTTTATGTTAGTGATAATGAAAATGAGGTGGCTATGTACATTTTCAACACTATACACAAGAAGCATCCACCTATTAAATATTATGTAGGATATCCAAATGGGGATGAACAAAATGACCCTTTGGCTAAGTTATTAACTAGTTTCATTAGATTAAGCATGAGGCTTTACCCTAGGAAGTATTATATTACACAATATAGGGATAGAAACGAGCCAGCAGGTAAGAACCAGGCCAAGTATCTTGCTAATATGTTTAATAAACAGAACCTAAATGTTAATGGATTTAGGAGCTCTTATGTTAGTTGGTTATATAGCAATAATGTTTCCACTAAGATTCTTGAACAGGTGGCTTTAAAGATGAGGTCCTCTTTAAGGTCTCAACAGTATTCATATAAAAAGGATAATGCTGAACAGATAAGAATTAAAAAAGAACCTGTTGATGATTCTGTTCCAGTTACTATAAGTGATGTTAATGAACCTATACCACAAGCTGTTATAGCAAATATCGAAGCACCAAGACCTAGAGAAGTCAAAAATTACAAGGATATTGTCGAAGCTAATCGCCAACATCAAAGAAAATATGTTGAAAAGATTGGTAAAGATACTTATGCGCAGAAACAAAAAGAATATAGAGCAAACAATAAAGAAATACTTGCTTTAAGAAGAGTCTTGAAAAAGTATAACAACACAAATTACAAGCCAACAGAAAAATTTATTAACAAATGGAAACTTTATAAACAAGATGGTCAATGGAGGTCAGAATTAGAATAAATGATATAAGACAAATAATTATACATCCACAATATAAAGATGTTTGATTGGAATTTTTATAAGTTTGTCTTAGAGCTTATCAAAGGTTACTTAGAGGAACAACTTGAAATTGCTTATATTAAAAAAGGTTTGAAACTATCACCAGCATATAACCCTGATTTAGCTTTGCGGGCAGGCCCGGCGTGCGGCCAGCCCGGCCAGCCTCTGACTGCCAGCCGGGCTGAGGCCCGGCGTCACCAGTGTACTACGCCGACGGTAGGTCCGATTCCGAAGTTCCTACTTTATTCTGCTTGAGGCACTGGCTGGGCCTGCTTTGTTCTGCTTGAGGCACTTTCTGTCTTACAGGCTCCCTGCTTTACCGTAGTACTGCTTCCACTATCAAGTAATCGCCGAAGTTATCCGACACTGACTCTCAGAGGGAGGCTGGGCCTGCTTTGTTCTGCTTGAGGCATTTTTTACCTTCTGCGAGTAAAACTTCATATCCTGGGCACAGGAGCACGGTACCGCTCGAGGTGACGCATCCAGTCCTCCGAGGCTCCTCACTAGCCTGAGCCGCAAGCAGCAGGAGCATGCAGGAGGAATAACATCCCTTAGACGCGATACCCGGAGGCAGCCGACTGACCACTGTCAGTCGAGACGTCCGCTGCCGCCACAAAGCGGGCGCCCGCGGACGGAGAAAGGGCAGCCGCCGACAAGGAGCCGGCGTTGCCCGGGGGTCCGCCTGGGGCAGCGGACGGAGGGAGGCTGGACACATGAACACGGTACCGCTCGAGGTAGTCCTCCTCGCTAGCCTCCGAGTCAGCGGTATAGCCGCCCGTGACGGCGGCGACGCCGCGGCAATGCCCAAGGACCGGCGTGACCCGACCGATGCCGGGGAGGAAGCAGGCGAGCTCGGACCAGCAGCAAGCACCCCAGGGGTGTCGAGCTCTCCGGAGGCACCCGACGTCACAGTGAGGGACGGAGACGCCTCGCCAGCTCCGCGCCGATCGTCGGCGCCACTCGAAGGGTGTCCCCCATCGGAGTCGGAGACCTCCGGCGAAGACTCCTCGGGCGACTCGACAAAGTCCGAGGAGGAGCTGTCCTCTGGCTCGAGAAGTGCTTGCGCCCGCAAGGGCGTCATGCGCCTCGCACCAGACAAGAGCGCTTCCAGCGTCAGCTGCATGGTGAGGCGCTGATAGGTGGCGGCGCGTTTGCGAGCCAAGACCTCAGCAGCAGGGCCGTCATCAGGCACGAAGTGCCGACCAAACGCCGCATCCTCAAGAGGCATCGAGCGCTGAGCAATGATGTCCGCGAGATACCAGATGAAGCGGAGGGTGTCAGGATGCAGGGTACCGTCCGTCGAGATGGCAAGAGGGATGAACGCTCGAGGAGGAGTAGTCATGGCATATGCTGCGCGATGTTTGCGAATCTTCTCAGACGCTGCAACATGGAGGGCGTCGAGGTTGACCTCCCCCCACTTGGTCAGGTCGGCAGAGCTACCAATGTAAGGGTGGACCAACGTCACGTCCGCCATCAAGCCCTCGTACTGCTCGGACCCTCGATCGCGGATTCCAGGGATGTGGATATCGCCCTTCATCTTGCGGCCATGAGGATGGGAGGGTACCTGCCGTCGAGAACGAGGATCCCCGACTGTATCGATGACGCTCTGAAGACCAGCTTCGTTCAGCATCGACCGAATCGTACGAGTAAGGTTGTCATGCGCCGTGGGAAGCTTGGAGGATCGGCGTTTGCAGGTCTGGAGATGATGTGCAGCAACGGAGGGATCGAGCTCGCGCTGACATCCATCACATTCCGTCGGACACTGGCAGGGGGAGAAATGAAGTGCTCATGAGACGAGTCGACGAGAGCGCGCAAACCAGGGATGTGTACCACAGATGCCGGGGGGCGTCCTGCATCATCAGGCACAGCAGCCGGGGCAGGTGGGATCGCCGCACCATCTGCAGCCGGTGCAGGAGCCTTGACACGACGGTAGAGGATCGCTCCAGCATTATGAACGAAGTCGTGCGCCTCAACGAAGAAGGTCGCCAGAGGGTGCTTCTGGGCACGGAGAGATCTCG